CCGGGCGGGGCGCGGCGGCGGCGGCGGGGCCGCGGGAGCAACAGGCGGGCCGGCCCCGCTCCACGGGCGCGCTCGGGCCGAGTTCGGCGCGTTCCGGCCGGGGCTCGCGGTGCGCGGCGTGCGGGGAACCCGGGCTGCGGCTCCGCGCTGGGAGGTGGCGACGCCAGGGGCCGTGGGGCCTAAGCGGGCACGGAGCGGCGTGTCTGTGTGTCTGTCTGTGTGTGTGTCTGTCTGTGTGTGAACGGAGCGCGCCTTCACCTTTCCTCTCTTTCCCATCTCCCGGGCAGGGCCGCCTCCCGCCGCTGCAGCACGGATTGCTGCCGCCCCTCGCCGGGGAGCGCAGCTCCGAGCCCAGTCCTTACCCCGCTTTGTGAGAGGTTTATCGGCCCTTATAAACTTCAGCTTCGCAGGTGCCCTCCTGCCTCTGCGCCTTTCGCGCCGGCGGTTCCTAATTCAGCCTCGTTTTCTTCCTACAGCCTCTGCCACCATTCCAGGCATCCTAAGCCACTTACTCATTCTTCCCAATGCTTGTCACTGCGCTCTGCTATCCTAAATATAGGGTAGTGTGCCAATGGGTGAGGCTCGGGAGCCGGGGTGCAGGGAATAACGCCGTGTCGGCGGAGCTGTGCTGCACCCACACCGTGCTGCTTGTGAGCTCCTGAACGAGATGGGCTTTGGTTATGGCGTGTGCTAACTTAGCAGTGCCTGCTCCTTTGCACGCTGGCACACAGGTGAGTGTGCCCCGCGCCCTGCCACGCACCCGTGGGTCTGTAGGGATTTGTTAACCCCGAGCGCTTCTCTGCTTTCAGACGTGGCTGATGCTGCAGGGCTGCTCCCTGCTCCTCTGGCTGTTGCAGGTGTGAGGTGGGTGCTGGGGTACGCCGAGAACCCCGCCAGCTTGAGCTGTGAAATGCACGGCCAGAACTGGCTCAGACCTGACTATAGCTTATCTGCCACGGGCGGCTGCTCTGGAGGAATTCCTGCATGTCTTCTGGCAGCAGAACTTCTCTCCAGCAGCGTGGGGACGTTGGAGGTTCGTGCCACAGAGAGAGGCGCTTTAGTGCTTTGCATCTGAGCCTGGGTTCCCCTCAGCTCTGCTGGAGGAGGTGAGAGGGCGGTGGAGTCACACTGCTGGCACTGCCAGGCTCCCCTGGCACAGGTGTGAGCTGCACGTGCTGCTCGTGCAGCAGAGGTGTGGCACAGCAGCAGGGGAGAGACCTCTCTCACTGCCTCTCCATGTCCCGTCAGCTGAGGAATAGCGTGGAGGAATGAATTCCAGTGAGTTGGATGAGGAAAATGTAAACTCTGTGTTCTCGCTGGGCAAACAGCGGTTGTGTAAATAAATGTCTCTGGTATTCCTTGTAGTGCTCATCGGCTGCCCGATCCCTCGTGGTTTCTTGCTGAGCTGTTGGGGAGGCTGCTGCTTCTCCCCCAGCTCTGAGTACTTTGCCAGCAATTTGGGCCAAAATACAAGTAAACACCATTGGGTTGATCTGGTATATCTGAGGTCTTGGTATGCTGAAAATGTTTGTTCTTAGGATGTTTGTGCAGGCTGGAGGGCTCTGTACTTTAAGCCCCGTTTGCTGAGGACTGTGACCGTGTTTAATCTGTCTGAAGAACCTGTGCTTTTGGGGCTTGTTCTCTGAGATTGAGTAAGTTTGGGCAAAGCCTGGAGGTGCTGCGGGAAGGGAAGTTAGTTCATTAACTAAGGTGTGTTATATGCAGGTGTGCATATTTCCTGCTCTGGCACATTTTCCTAGCTGTGTATTTTGCTGCATTTATTCACTGACTCGATTGCGATCTGATTGAAGTTCAGTATGTCAGTGGGAAAGCTGTTTGGGACTATTTGGTGTTGCTGTGCTTTTCCTGAGTGTGCTGGCCGTGTGGGGCTGCCTGCGTCCTGGGACAGGTGGTGGATAGAAGCTGAAGGTCCTGGCTGGAGGGCAGCTTGTAGCTGAGGTGTCAGCAGGGCTCAGGTGAGATCCCACACCCCAGGAATGCATGCCATTTTCCTCAGTGCTGTGTCCTGCTCAAGGTCACACAGCTTGGCACTGTGGGTTCCCGGAGGCCTGGCTCTTGCTGGGATGTGCCTTGGCATCCCCACTGCGCCAGGGTCCTCCACATCCTGGGCCAGGATGTGGCCCTGCTGCTTCTGACATGTCCAACTTTGGGTGTCCTGGTGGGCCCCCAGCTTTAGCACAGAGGGTTTCTGCTGGTGGCACGCTCGCTGTGAACGTGAGCAAGCTCTTTCCAGCACGTGGCGGCCAGTCTTTTTGCTGAGCTGATCCTTTTTTTCCCTTTTTTTTTATTCCCCTGGATTAACTTTCTGCAAATTAGTAACCCAGAAGATCACACGAAGGAGCAGATAAGCACAGAGCCCCATAGGAGGGGGTCCAGCCTGGAGGAGGAGGAGGCAGCAGGCACTGCAGAGGTGAGTTAGTGCTGGGCACTCTCAAAAGGGCTCCTCTCTTCCCCACTCTCAGCTGTGCCCTCCTGCCTCCTCCCACGTGCCAGCTGTGGTGCTGAGCCCGTGCCCTGGTGGACTGACCCAACTCACTTGGCATTCAGTTGTTCTTTTCATGGTGTTTTTTTTTTTTTTTCTGAGTGAGCATTTCTCTGTTGGTCTCAGAGGAGGGAACTCGGATGGGGCTGGCAGGCAAGGAGCCCTCTGCCAGCACAGCTCTGCTCTGAGGTCCCCCCTGTGGGGTTACTGCCCTGCTTGCTGTGCCTGCAGGTGTGCTGTAGGGCTGCAGGGCCAGGGGGTGATTCCTGATGGGATCCCCGTATGTTCTCCCTGGCAGATCCTTGCAGCTTTGTATCTGCTGACCCCAGGTAAGCCTTCTTGCTCTTTTTGTGGGTTCCTTGCAGCCTGTTGATGACAAGGGACAAGGCCTGGGGACAGCGCTGGACAGGACAGTGCTCGGTTTCACGTTGGGGTTTTCTTCAGGAAAACAGGCTCCCGGCCTCATCTGCCCTGTGAACAGATGTGTGAATGAGGGATTCTGCTGATGAGTTCCCTTTTTTTCCTCCTTTCACATGTTGTGGTCTCACCACAATGCTCAGCTGCGGCACTTTCCCTCGCGGTGACCCTGGCTGAGGATATGGGCTGTATTTTCTCACGTGCTTTCTGAGAAGAGCTCAGCTCACAGAGGACGATGGGGTGGCTTCAGAAAGATTTCAGATCCTGGCTCGGAGCTCTACCACAAATTGCTTTAAAAGCCTCTGCGCAGCACTGGGTTCTGCAGTGCTCCTCTGGAGGACCTGACTAGTGGCATTCCTGCCTGCCCTCAGTGCAGTGATTGCAGGAGGGCTTCCAGCTTATTGCAGTACGGCCACAGGTCACTCTGGTGCTGAACACAGGTGATAAATTCACACTGCTGCTTGCAGGCACGTTTCATTTTTTTTTTAACAAGGTTGTACATTTAGACTTGAGACTGCTTAATCCTCTGGGAAGTGTGTTCCCCAAAGCTGGCTATTAGCATCCCATAGGTTTGATGGCAGCTTCCAGCAGCAGGTTCTGGGCGCTTGATATCAGGGGCTAGAGGTTGGGTTGGGATGAGCTGGGCTACAGGAAGGCTGAGTGGCAGCCAGGGCTGGCAGTTTCCCACTTGAGCAATGAATGATGAGGGTTGATGTGACAGCCTTACGTTGCTGTCACAGCCTCCAACTGCAGCACAGGTCCCTTGTGAGGGTGGCACTGCTTGCTTCTTGCAAGCACCACCAGTTTTCCCTTTTCCTTATGCAGCGTCAGCCCAAGGTGGACTCTTTCAGACCCTCTGGGAAAGGCACCTCTTAGCAGAGCTCCTGTAAGGTCCCCAGTGGGTTTCCTTGTGTCCACGGCTTCTTTGGGGCTTTTCAGGGGAGGGGTCAGAGATCTCTGTAACTAAAGGGGAAATATCTCTGGAGTCATTTCTGGCTTCTATGCATCGCCCATAAACTTGTGCTGTACCATTGTCCTCCAGCTGAGGTGTTTCTGTTATCTCATGTTGTACTCCAGGGACTCTTACAGGAAGACTTCATGCAGGGACAGATTCTGAGTGTGATAGCAGGAGGCACTGTGAGCCAGAAGGCAGAAGAACTGTACTGCTGGGTGCTGATACTGAACGCTTTGGAGCTCTCCCTCTTTTTCTCCTCTAACACCTTCCATCCGGATCTGCTTCCTCTGAATGTGAGCACTTAGCTTTTCCCCAGATCAGGGGTTCTTAGCACAGATGACCTTGCAGACACCTGCAGACACTGAGTGTGAGGCTGCTGGAAATCTGACCTGATGCTTTTGACGCTGAGGCTACAAAGATAGAAATAATCTGGGTTGCAACAATTTCAGATTTGCATCCCTTAGGCTTTCCTGGCACCTGTTGAATGTTGTGTTCTCTGTGCTGGAGGAGTTGGTTCTCATGCAGGACCATGTGTGGTGTTTCCTACCCCAGAGAAACTATTTCCATTGGAGTTTCTATCATAATGCCAGGAGCCACATTAGAGGATGAAAGGTGGTTATTCTAAAATCCGTATTAAAGTTTTCAGGATCTTAAAATTCAGTTCCCTCTCTCCTGTCAGCTTCCAAAATCTTCCTCCTTTCCTTTCTCCTGCGTGCTGCACAGTCATGCATGCTTTATGACGTGTTGAAAAGTGTAATTTTGGTAATACTGGCAACAACTGAACTTAATAGACTAAGCTTGTGGCACTGATTTTGTTAGCTGTCACGCTGGATTCACCTAAGGGCTCTGCCCTGTGGTGTCTGTGAGCTCAGTAGCTTCTGATGACAGGGTGTGTTGGTGGTCCTGGGAGTTCTGGAGTGTGGTCACACAGCAGATCTATGCATTGTGCGTGGAGCAAAGCTTCAGGAGTAGGGTAGCAAACACATTTTGGATTTGTTTAGGCCAGGTCAGAAGAACTTTCTGATGCCCCGTCCCTGGAGGTGTTCAAGGCCAGATTGGTGGGGCCCTGGGCAGCCTGGTCTAGCATTAAGTGAGGAGGTTGGTGGCCCTGCATGTGGCAGGGGGTTGCAGATTCATGATCCTTGAGGTCCCTTCCAACCCTGGCCATTCTGTGATTCTGTGAACTGTTAGCCTGGGGACTGATCTTTCTGTTGGTGGCCTTGTGCTGGTTGCTCTTTCAGGAAACATTTGGTCACATCTTTGAATAAAATTTTATCTGAATATCAGAGCTCAGACTTCAGAGAGGCCAGATTGATGTTGTGAGAGTATCAATTGCTGGATATCATCCCCTTCAAAAAAAGGTACAGAGGATGCTAACGCCTCTGTCTTATCAGTACTGTGGGCAGAACACCACGAACCTGGTTAATAAGCTGCCTGTGAGGAAGGGATAGCAATAGCACCTAAGGAAACTTGGTAATCAAAGCTAACGTGAGGAAGGGATTCGGTTGTTACTGGCAATGATGTGAACTTGTATCTTTGAGCTTAAATTGCTGGAGAAAGTGGCAGTGTTGCTGTGTGTGGTGCTGGTGATAAGCCAGGATAGAAGCTGTGGCTCTGTGGCTTTGGAGCTGCAGGCTGGCTCTGGCAGGTGGATGTGCCTGGTCTGTGGGCACCCAGGGGAGCAGGGCCGTGGTGCTGTGCTGTCGTCACGGGAAGGAGCTGCTTCCTGCAGACCTTGCTGCTGTGTTCTGGTGCCGTCATCTTCATCCTGCTGTGCTCCAGCTTAGCATCCTGCAGCCCTCTCCTGAATTGCAGGCTCCTAAAGCTTCCCCTGGAGGTGCACAGCTTTGTATCTGCTGACTCCAGGTAAGCCTTCTTGCTCCTTTTGTGGGTTCCTTGTAGCCCATTGATGTGCTGATTGAAAACCACTGACTTGATGCAGTGCTTCAGCAGATTCCTTGATGTAGTTTCTCTGCTTGGCAAAGAAAAACGGAGAACAGAGCAGGCAGTGAGATTTTGAATTGGATTTTTCCAGGAGCTGAGATGAAATCAAGGTTAGGCTCTTTCTCATCCATATCTCTCAGACTGGTGCAACGTGGTTTGGTCACTCCAGGTATGCTGATGTCCTGTTTTCTGCTTGTATATGGGAATTCACTTTGGCGTAGCTGAGTCCTTGAGCCAGTGTTTTGGGGTGGGATTCTTCTTGAGTAGAAGCTTAGGATGATGGCAGCTTTATCCTGCATGCCTCGCTCTTTGCACAGTAGGTTTGGACCAGCAGTCTTGGTCTGTGCCAACTGGAGAAGGCACCTGGAGCATGGTGCTGCTTGGGCGTGCAGCAAAGTGATCAGAGTACAAGCCACCTGTGGTATGAGCAGGAGCAGATAGCCCAGCTCTGCAGCCTGAACCAGGAGTAAGCACCTGCTGCCATCTCAGCGTGTGATCCAACTGAAAGCAGAGGCAAACGTGGACAGAAGTTTGTCAGGACAGAAGTTGCCAAGCATGTTGCTCCTGGTTTCACACTAGCAGCACAAAAGCTGCCTGAGAGTACAGGAAGAAGTTTGGTGGCTGCTACAGAAGTTATTGCTTTGGGAAGCTTGATGATGTACATCTACTCTAAAGTGATGGACATAAAGACCAGCAAGAGTAACTGAAGTGGCTGGTGTCTTCCTGCCTGGGCTTGGTGATCACAGCCAGCTGAGCTCATTTCAAAGTGCTTATGAAGGCAAACAGCTGTCCTGTTTACCCTCTGTCCTCAGTGAGGAGGAATGACCTGTGTCAGCAGGGCTGAAATCTTGTCTTCTTTCCCTAGGCCTTGCTGGGAGGAGTGGATGTGTGAATGTGCCTCTAGCAGTGACAAGTGGCAGACCTCTTAGGAACAGGAACTGTTGCTGCCCAGACCAGCAGTGGTGCACAGGTTGCTCCTGCAGGAAGGAGACCTCGCAGCAGCCCGCCTTCCATTTGCTGTTGGCAGGCTTCAGAGCAGTCCCTCGAATCAAAAAGCCGTAGGAGAAAAGCATTGAATGTATTTTTTAGGTATCTTTTTCAAGTGGCTGAAAGGCCAACCTGCGTCGGGTCGCTCGCTGCAGTGCTGGAGCAGGCTGTGGGTGTGGGACAGACCCATCCGGAGACACGTGGAGTGGGGACTGCTTCAGTGCTGCCAGGATGCAGCTGTCTGTGGGAGCTGCTGCTGGAGCAGGAGGGGCTGGCTGGGACAATAGTGGGAAACAAGTGGGAGATGTCCAGCTGAAACCAGTTTTAATTTATTTTTTCCTTATCTGTTGCAGTTGTTTGGGTTTTCCTTGGCAGCTGTGGGCAGAACGGTTTGTGCCAGAGGATTTTACAGAGCCCAAAGTTGGCGTGCTGTGAGTTGGTGCTGCGGGCAGAAGAGTCCTGCCTTCTTGTGCTGCTGCCAGGGAGCAGAAGTGCCCTTATACAGCCTGCATCCAGCAGGAACCTGTGCCAGGTGGAAACCAGCCTCTTGCTGGGTTCCTCAGCCAGGTGTCAGTGCCCTGGTCTGGCTCTGCGTGTGGCTTTAACTCCTGTGCCAGCACAAAGAGTACAGGTGTGGAAGTGCCTCCTCTGGAAGGGGCACCAGCCTGGAAGGACTGTGAAGCTGCCTTGTGTGGGTCTTCAGGTGTTACGTCTGCCTGCAGGAAGAGTTGGTCCGGCAAATCCTAGCAGGCATTGAGTTGCTGGCAGTGAGTGAGGATCCATGCTGCTGATGGAGCTGCCTGCAATGTTGTGCTGCTCTAAAGCCCTGCTTGCGTGAGCTCCCGGAATCTCCTGAGGCCATTGAATAGGAGGAAAAGTGCACTGGGGTAGGAAGGAAGTGTGATGTGTTGCACCAGAGGCGAGGGCACTGCTTAGTGCACGCACAGGGATGTTATTCCTTTGGACCTATTAGCTGAAATCCTAGACTGCACATAAGGGGGTGAGGGTATTCACACACCACAGCTATTTGTGCTTGGGGAGCGGGCTGTTAGACCCCTGTCCACCAAATGAGAAGTATTTTTTTTCCTGTGAGCCGTGAGCAAAAAGAATGGGATGTGATGACAGATGAGGAGCAGGGGACAGAAGAGAAGCGTCCTTGAGGAGCAGCAGTATTTACGTAATGGCTAACCCAATATTAACGTAAATAAGGAGCTGTGATTTTTAGCTTGGAGCACCTGCCTGGGGTGGCTGCACTGGCAGTATGTAGGCAGGTGGGGTGAGAGCTGGGGAGTGTCAGATTTGCTCTCCTTGTTTTCCAAAGCATTTGTGACTGAATTATGGAAGCCTGCATACAGCAAGAAGAGGAGGGAGCCAGGGAAAGAAAGCCTGGAAAAGGTGTGCTTTTTTCATTGCTAGAGTGCTTCCTAGTTGGAAGAAACAGCTGGGGAGAGACTGCGGGTTGTGCCTTTGACCACACAATGGCCTTTCTGCAAGACCTGCTTTAATCAACCAGGTGAAACTTCAAGGACCTGCGTAACTGATCTCACTAAACACTGCCCATGAGTGCAGTGTAATCTGAAACGAGCACTGAGCATTGCCATAGGACCAGCATTAAATGTGTGCTTAGCGAGCAAGTCTGTTTTTCTGGTCCCTGTCACTTAAAATGACTGTGGCTGTGCTAAGAGTTTGTGGGACACACCTTGTCCAAAGCCCCAGATGACTTTGTAATTAGTGCTGCTGTGATGTGAGCCCACGTCTGGGGAGCAGGATTTGTGTGGTGGTGGAGCAGGACGTGGCCATATGTGTTGGCTGTGGTGCTTGAAAGCTGTTGGTGATTTCTGCCTGCAGGGAGGTGGCTGTCACAGCAACGGGATCCACCTGGCTGGGCTGGGGGCTCCTCTGCTTCCTGACAGCCCCCTGCATTGTGGCTGCCTTCTGTGCCACACCAAGGCCCGAATATGTGGGTGCTGGATGAGCTGTTTAGGTTGGAAATGCACTGATTTAATAGAGCTTGGTGGGGGGCAGATCAGCCCAGTGCCTCCCAGCCCTCTGAAGCACCGACCTGTTCTGCTCACTGCCTTCCCGGGAGCTGCTGGCGGCTGCAGCGCTGGATTTGGTAGCTAATGCTCTTTGGAATCAGTGTCATTTAAAAAGTATCCAAGCCAAGAAAGAGCACAAGATGTAATTCCAACAGAGTTTTTTTTTAGCAGGGCGGTAGCTTCTATTAAAGGGAATCGGTGCGGCCATTCGCCCCGTGGGCTTCGTGGGTGTTACCCACACTCCAGCTCTCCAAATTCCTGCAGAAACGGTGCAAAGCTCAGAGTGAAACATTCCTTCCACGCATCTGCTGGCATTCAGAGCGCAGGTATTTCGGTGGTTAACCCGTGAGGCTTTGGAGCGCAAAGCAGAGGTGCTGGGAGTGAGGGATGAGGCAGAGCCTATTTTTACTCCGTCACAAACAGGGCTCAGCATGTTTACTTTATACTCCGGAGCCGCTCAGGCTGGGCTGTTTTTTAATATCTGCTGTTGCTATTGGATTAAAAACTCAAACTCTGGATATCACAGGAAAACTCGTTGCTCCTGCAAGGTGTGGAGGCTGCCAGCACCCACCCACTGCTGCTGGGGGTCTGCAAAGGCTGCAGCCTGCTGCTGGGCCCTGTGCCATCCTGCACAAGGGTGGCTGGTTGGGCTTAACAGAGCAGCGACGTGCAGAATTTGAAGGGCTGGGAGCAGGGAGCCCAGGCTGTGTGCTGTGCCCTCTGCTGCTGGTGCTCCCCTAGGGCTGGCGGAGTTGCGGTGTGCTTCGTGTGTTGCGTTGCAAACTTTTAAGCTCTTTATCCCAGCTTATTGCTATTAAAAGCACGGTGTGCTCACAGTGACGTGGAGGGTTTGCAGGGATGGGTCGCAGCTCCTCACGTTGGAGGCTGGATGAGCATGTATGGTGAGTGGCCCCAGGGGCCCTATCCACACAGGCTCGATCCTCCTTCTGTCCCACAGACTTCCAGGCTGGGATCTGCTGTGTTGCTTCAGGTTTGGTCCAGCCCCTGCAGTTTGCATCACTGACCTGAGGCAACTGTACAAAGAACTAGCCAAGATATTGGTTATTTAGCTCTTGTGCTAATAAATACCACTGATACTAGTTTACAGTTGTACCGTTGTGCACGCTTACAGCTGCAGAGTTGGTAATTATTAATCTGAGATCTTAGAAGTTGCACTTCAGAGCTGCCGTGTCACCCTGCTCTCCCATGGCACTCGGTGTCAGGGTGCTCGTCCCTGCCTGCCTGCCTTCCTGCAGCAAATCCTCCCAGCTGGTGGGAGGGTGAGTGCAGCACTGAGCCTTGCACTGCTCCCCTTGCTCTTCCCAGGCTTCCAAATAACAGGACTTGTTATTTCTTTGCTTGCTGGTTTCAGCTCTGCTATATCTATATCAAACCTGGTGCTTCTGTTGTGACTTGTGCACTTCCAGCCCTACCTTATCCTGTTGCTGCCTGCTGCTCATGGCCATGCAGGTCCCCTACAATTGCTTGGCACACTGGGTGCCTTATGTCCTTTCAGGCAAATCACCCCATCTCAGCCTTCATTCTTCTACCTGTGTCCCATTAAGCACAAGCAGTTTATGTGCACATCTTCATCCCAGTGCAGCAAATTGCCATTTTCCACGCTGCGTTTGCATTCCAGCAGCAGCTGTGTGGCTGGCTCTCCTGGCTCCTGCAGGTTCCCAGCAGTGCTCTGACAAAGCTCCTGCTCACAGCTGCCCTGGAGCATTTATGACCCAAGCTGTACTGAGATGGGAAAGGAGACACAGGGTCACCTGGCACTGATATTCCTGCTGAAACGAGCTTTCACGGCTCCCAAGAGTTGGTGAGATGTATCTAACACCTGAGCTATGTGTTATGCCTTCTGTATCCCTCTGTCAGCCTCCTGGAGGTGAATTCAGTAACCTAGGGGTGTTTTCTCCCTTTTTGCTAACAGCCAGAGGAGAGCAGAAGGTCTTGCAGGGACAGTTGGCCTTTTGGCGTGGCTGATTCCTGTTTTTGAAAGTCAGATTCAAGTGTCAAACAGGTAAAACAAGTGGGCTCTGAATGCTTGGTCTGGTCTCCAAAGAAAACGCATGCTTGGCCGCAGACCCATGTGCTCTGTGTGCTTTGGATTAAGCAGGCCTGCATTTATTTGCTAATATTAATATTTGTGTACCGTAACGCATCTGCAAACATTTGTGCTCTGAAGGTTAAGCTGTGTTTTTTGTTGGCATCCCTGGTGCACGAGAGCCCAAATCCTTGGCACGCTGGGCTGGGGGGTAATGCATTTTCCCTCTGTGCAAGGCTTGGCCAAGTTTTTGGGGGAAAACAGACGTCAGATGGGCTTTGGCACATGGCAGGGCAGGACTTGTGTTCTGGCTGGAGCACGAGCACAGCATCCAGAAATCACAGCTGGCTGTGTGCTTTGGGGCTTTGTCCCTGAGAGCAGTGCCTTGTTACACAGAGTTACTTTGCACATTACTGGTGTATTTTCTTTCACTACCTGGCCTGTAAAAGGGAAAAAACTGGGTTAGGAAACAAGCCCACGTGTTGTTTTGTGAACAAAGCAGCGTTGAGCTGAGGCCAGGTGTGTTGGTAGAGCCCTAGAATTCTGTCACAGGTGTATTTGTAGACAAGCTTCTGGAGAAAAAGGAAAAAATATCAAGAAAACAAAAACCACAGAAATGAGCCCATGAGGTAACACGGCATGGCTTTAAAACAAATGAGGAGCAAATTGGGCTGGCAGGGTACAGGACTAAAACGTGAGGCACTGCATTGCGGGTGCTCAATAAAATAAGTTTTGAAACAAAGTGACTTAGAATACTTGGTCATAGAAAAAATACTTGCGGCTTAAAATATCCCTGGAAGAGCTGTGCTGCTGGACACAGCAAGTTTCCCAACTTCTATTTTCAACTTTTCCAGAGATTTCCATAATTCTTTTAGAAGGCTTTTCCCCCGAGTGCTGCCCTGGCCCTCCCTGCGCATCCTGTGCTACGATGTATTTGCAGTTTGATTTCCCAGGTTTGCTGACTTCAGCCTGGCCTTCCCCATACCTGTTTCCTCCAGAAGTGGGAAGGTGTCAGGTGTGTTTTTATCAACAGGAAGAAGCAGAAAGGCGAGGGGAGAGTTACCATAACCACCTTATCATCAGCAACTTCCAGACCCGGAGGAGCCGAAATCGGAGTTTGTCACTCCTGCAGAGCAAACAGCCGTGTGAGGGCTCTGCCAAATGGAGCCGGGGCTGTCTGTCTAAGGCCGGCGTGTACTTCACTTTCTGGGACAAAGGCTACTTAGACATCTGGATTGCACTGGGGATTTTAGGGCAAAAACCAATTACTAGTTTGCTGTGGATGAGGAATGGCTGCTCGTTGCGTGAGCGCGCCGCCGCCAACTTAGCGCTGCGCTCAACTCGTGCTCCAGTGCTTCGGGATGGAAAGCTGCATGTTTGGTGCCCTGGGAACGTGAGGCTGAGCAGACCTTTCCTGACCTTCGGGTGCACTGAGAAAACAAGCTCGTTTTATGGACGGTTAATTTATAGAAAGTTCCTGTTTAAATTTCCTGCAGGAGCCATAAAGCCGGAGGACAGCTGCGCCCATCGCCAACCGAAGGCTGCTCCCACCTGGCCTGTGCAGAGCCAGCTGCAGGAGCTTTGGGGCAGAGCACTCAGAGCATCCTGCATGTCCTTTGGAGGTGTCCTGGCTGCTGAGACGGCTCCTAGGGCCAAGGCAGGGATATCTATCAGCTTTTGGTATTGCGTTCACTCTGGTTTACTTAAGCCTGGGTTAAGGAGTGCGTGTAGGTGGCAGTAACTAACAGTCCAAAAAACAAAAGCTGTTTGGCATTTTTTTTTTCCCCTTGCAGGCATGGGGATAGCTGCATTTATTTCCTGCTGCTTTCTCCCTTCTTCCCCTAAGACAGAAATAAGCAAAGCCTTGTAGGCTTGCAGTTGTTTGTGCTGCTTTCAGTGCGAAGCAGGTGGGTGCCGAGCACCCTGCACACAGCTCAGCTCCCTGCAGCAGCCGGGCTGCTCTGCTGTCAGCAGGAGCACACACTCTAATAATTCTGATCCTGATAGCTAATTCTGATCCGGTTTGACAGGGGTCGGGATCTTAAAGACGCCGAGCTGTCAGGAGAGCCCTATGATACTCAGTCTGTCCTGCTGCTCAGGGCTGCTTTCTGCAGGCAGGTAGGCTCACATTCCCCCTCCCCGCTTTGGATCCCTTTACCATTTCTTCTTTTCAGCCTCCTTGCCACATTAAAGCTAAGATGAGAAGGAAGGAAAAACTTCCAGCTCATACTCAGGGCTGAGAACCAGAACTGGGAGGTGCAGGAATCTATCCCATGAATACTTGGAAGGCAGTTTCTTGGCTCGGGGCGCGCTGGGGATTTGCACCCTGGCTGCCCCCCCATCCCCACCGCCTGTCCCTGCTCGTCAGCCCTCGCTGCTGGGCAGTTCTGTGCCCTGCTCACAGGCTGGCCTTCCTCACGCTCTTCACGTCTTTCTCCCAGGCTGTGGCTCACCGGGACAGAAAACGACTTTGGGGTGAGTGGCTGGAGGGTTGGAGAGGCCCCTGGAGCCCCTGCGTTGGTTGGCAGCTGGGCATTGAGTGGTGGTGGGATGTGGAAGTGATGGAAGGGAGCGCTGAGCTCTGTGCAGCTCTCTGTGGTGTGGGAGTTCTTCATTGTACCCCTTGGGCGGGTTTTCCCACCTGATAGAGGAAAACTCTTTGGTATGCTCAGAGCTTGAAATTTCTTAGTTTTGTTGAAGCTGGGGCCTGTTTCTCTTCCTTTAAATCTCTGCAGCAGTTGATAAGCAGCTGGTCCTTTCTCAGGGAGAAAATGCTGCAGAAAGAAATGCCAGGAATGCGAACAGCAGGTGGGGACTGGCAGATGTACATATCAATCACGACAGACTGACAGAGGGGCTCATTCCTCAGCAGAGCCTCTGTTTGCCTCTGGCTGGCTTTGTGCAAACCTTTCTGAGCCCCTCCAGCCTCCGCTGGGGGCTTACAGTGGGGCAGCTCTTGGGCTGTGCTGGGGAGCGGTTGCTCTGTGATGCCCTGGGAGCGGGACCCTTGCGCCAGGGATGGGGGCAGAGCCTTTGGAGCACACTGCTGGGACTCAGCAGCGTTCCTAATAATAACCAATGTGCTGCACCTCGGGCTCGGGCAGCGAGGGATCTTGCTGCCACGTTGCTGAAGAAGCGGGCGGGCTGAGCGAGTTAATTGAATTTGCTGCACTGTTGCATTTCAAACCATGACTTCATCCCTCTGAGGAGTCTGGAGTCATTTCCGTGGACGAAACCCCTGCTTGGAGACGGTGGTTCTGTGAGGTCACCTGTACTGAGCAGCGTGGGGCCGCAGGGTGCAGAAATGCATGGCACGGGGCTGAGCGGGACCGTGAGCCGTGGGACTGCTTCCCAAACTCACTCCTTGCACTCTCTGCTGCTTCCTGAGTGCCCGGCACGTGCTGGGGAGGCATCTCCAGCACCTGGGCGACATGAAATAATGGACTGAGTTTCTCTTCTTGAGAGAAACCTATCTGGTAACCTCTGAGCGTTGTCCCTCTGTGTGATGGCAGTGCGTGTTGCAAGCAGAGCAAAGCCGCTGTCACAAATGACGTTTGGGGTGTTTTTTCCCAGGCTCTAAGCTTTCGTTCTGGCTGATGTGCTCGCGGTGGGATGCGTTATCTGAGCGCTTCGGGTCCGCTTCGCTTTGTCTGCACGGTGATTCCTGGAAAACCCAGAATAAAACCCGTGCTGGTGGGGCTGTGGTTAGACCTCCCCGGGTGTGATTGATCCCCAGGGCGTTCTGCTGGGCTCGGCCTCAGCAGCTGCTGGCTGTGGGGCTTCAGGTCAGCCAGCTCCGATCCCGGGGATTTCGCTGTCCCTAAAAGCCAGCAGTTCTGTGGGGTTTGCAGGGATGGCGCTGATTTACACAGCTGATATGTTTAACAAGTGAAGGCACATCAGCCCCGAGTCCCCTCATCAGCTTTTCTTTGGATCATTGCTTGTTTTGGTGGAAGAGCAGTGTAAGAAAGGGCTACCATTCCCAAGTAAGAAAGGCAGTGAGAGCAAGAGGGTGGTCAGTGCTGGGAAACAGAGCAAAAACTTTGGAAATGTAACTTTTTCCAGCTTTAAAAACTCATTTTCTTAGCCTCCCCCTCACAGGACTTGCTCAAACTAGTCCTTACAATACGTACCCATGAGCAAGCTTTGAAACTGCAATAGGTACCCATGACCAAACTCCTGCTGTGTCTGGTGCTGGTTCACTCTTGAGCTGGCACTGGAGTTTCCCATGCTGTGAGTCTGCCTCACACTTCTTCGGCTGAAAACTTAAAAACCAGTTTAGACATTTTCAGGAGTTAAAGGCAGAAGTGCCCGAAGTTTTGAGTATTTAAGAGAACAACAAAGCTTAACTGTTGTGCCCTGAGCTGCCTGCTGTTGTCAGCGTCCCAGGGCTGTGCTCCAGGCACAAATGCCCTGATCTTATCACCTGGCAGGCACCAGGATGGCTTTGCAGACCTCACCTGCCACTCAGATGCTATCTAGGAAGGGCCGGGTTGGATGGGCTGTGGCAGGGCGGGGACACCTGGGGGCACTGGGGGGGGACAGCCCTGTCCCCTCACTGCTGCCTTGTGTACGGCCACAGCCGGGAAGGAGCTCCTCTGTCTCGTGGAGGGAGAAGCCCAGAGAAGGTGCAGAACGAGGGCACGCCGTGCTTGCTGTGAGCAGTCTGAGCTCAGGTATTCTCACTTTGAATTCACTATTTGCAGCTTGTGCTACCCAAGCAGCATCCTGCCTTGCAGGTGATGTGGCCTGCAGTCGCAGCAGCTCATCTCGTGGTTGGGGCAGCCTGGCTTCTGCTGCCCTGCTGCTGTTTCTGCCAGTCGCTTTGTGCGTGAGATGATTCGGTTCATGTGGTGGTTTTACGTGCACTTTGTTGCAGTGAGGTTGCAGAGGCCTTTGCCTTGAACTCGAGTTATGTCCCCAAACTGCACCTTTCTTAGTCTTTACGGCACACCTCTCTCTGGCTGCGTGCTGTTTTAGTTTTCTGCTCTGCCCTACAGGTTCCTGGTAAGCAGGGAGTGCCTGGGGACTGCAGGGTTTCTCTTCTCCTTTTCTAAAATTTGAGCTGCACGTTTTTCCTTGGAGCTTTTTTACTAAACTCAGACTCAGGCATCAGGCCCGAATTCTTCGTAGCAAGTGGGCTGTTGGGAAAGCTGGAAGCAAATCCTGACTGCCCTGTAGCCATTTGTGTTCGTTTTGGTAATGAAGTCTACCCCGTCCAGGTGAAGACATGAAGCTGTGGCCAGGCTCTGTACCTTGGTGCTGCTGTAGGAGCAGTAAGACAGAACTGCAGCTGTGGCACAGTGTGGTCCTGCAGGGCTGCCAGGTCTCCTGGGACCCTGCAGCTCCTCCCCAAACCTGCAGCCCTTTAGCAATAGCCAGCCAAGGAAGTGCCATATAACCACTGAAGTAAGATAGCGTAAGCAAATAGGAGCTTTGGTGCAGGTAATTGGGTACCTAATTGCTGTGTTTGCCACCTGGGGACTGGAATTGCTCTCTGCTCTGGAAGCTGAATGGGCCATACTGTGATAAGCAGTTTAATTGTTTCCCTGCATCTGCTGCAGCATTATAAAACCAAGGCAAGCTGCACACACCTTCAGAGCTTAACAGCCTCACTGCAACTCCGAGCCTGCTTTTTCCTGTGGCGCTTGAGCATCCCTCTTCATGCAGCCCTTCTGTTCTCCACACCCTTTATCTTTACCTATGCTGTGTGATAGCAGTGAGCCATTGAGTTTTTCTGGAAAGTTGTTCAGATCTATGCTGTTAGGTGTGCAAGCAGAGAGGAGGGTCTCCTGGGAGTGGGATGCCCTCTCCAGCCAATTGTTGGGCTCTGGGCATCATTTTCATAAGGGAGTAGATGGGTGCTGAGCAGAAATCACGCTCAGTTTGACTTGAGGGGTGGCATTTGAGAGGAAAGGTGTGGGGTGTTAAAGGCTCTGAGTGCTTGAGGCTGTGAAATGGAGTTGTCCTGCTTCCTTTGGGGCGCTGCTGGGTGCCTGTGCCTGGGGAGGCAGCCCTGCTGCAGGAGGCACTGGTTTGGGGGTGAGCCAGGGCAGATGGTGCTTGGGGGGGACAGGCACGAGCTGGTACAGAGCCCGGCTAAGCACTGGTGTAATTTTCCTTGTTGCCTCAGAATGGCATTCAGCTCTGTTTTCCCGGGGCAAACACTGGTGCTTTAATGACTTTGCCCCCATTCCTGGGATTCCTGCAGCCTGAGCAGGTGTGTTACCTGTGCTTCGCCTCTGTGCTGTGCCCTGGGAGAGACATCAGCCCAGGATCTGTGCCGTTGTCTTACTCCAGTGTTCTCCTCCATAGTTTTATTCCACCTTTACTCCACCTAGGTGTGAAGAGGGAGTTCCTTGCTCCTGAGGTTTGGGCACTGGCAGCAGGAGGTGTTAATGCTGGACTTGCAGCTAAGAACAGATGCCCACATCCCACCTCCACTCCTTACAGTGGAGTTTGTGGCCTCGGAATCATTGGGTTTGGCATTCTGCTCCGTGATGCCAGAGCAGGGTGTGAAGGAAGGCTGATGTCTGTGTGCTTCAGGCCCCCCCACGGGCCCAGGGTGACCTGGCAGCAGGGCTGTAGCTGCAAAAACCCCACAGCTGCAAAACCCCCACACAGAACCAGGTGGGTTGGTTTTGAATTGGCTTGTGCCATAGCAGCAGGGAAGCAGATGGACACCCCGAGCAAGGTCCCTGCTTTTCCGTGGCTCTCAGCCCACTGGCATGGCTGGGGGTTGTGGTGAGGAGTTGGGAGTTCTAGCCAGGCAGCCAAAGCCTTCGCCCTCTGCTTTCCAGCAAGAGGAGAATACCTATAAAAATGTGCACTGTGCAAAGAGCTTGTCAGTCTGATGGAGCTCGGTGACTCCTGAGGATCTTTAGGATCTTTAATTCCTCTTTCAGAAGCTTTCTTGGTCTGAGCTCTGCTTCATTTCGTAGCTTTCCCATTTTATGCTGGATGGTTAGAGCAGGAGTGTTGCTGCCAAAAAGCGTTTACAATGCTTTTCCTGAGAAACATTGAAAGTTGCAAGTCCAGGGCTGAGGCCCTGGCTGCTCTGCACGGATTGCTCAGTGGTAAATGCGTTCGGAGGAAGAGCTGTGGCAGTTCCACTCGCTGAGCAATAAGTCAAGGCAGAGCTGCTCCATCGAGCTGTATCTTCATGCTTTGGCTTGGGGCTGCAGGGCAGGGTGCAGGAACTGCTGGAACAGCGAGATGCTTCCAAACAATGTGCTGGCCCTTAGCTACGCAGCCACTAAGGACATAAATGATGCTGTCTGTGTAACTGGAGTGCTGGAAACTGGCTTGCCTCGCTCCCTTGTCTGTCTCCCATCAGCTCTAATGCCTCGTGTCCCATTGGTAGCAGCAGTCAGGCTCCTGGTGTGGGGAAAGGCCTTGAGCCCATCCCTCCAGTCCTGCCTGGTGCCTCGAGCTCAGCTGATGGGAAATCATTGCTTAAAGAACGCTTCCAAAGACTCTCTTGAAATACTTCACTGTCTGAGGAATTCCATGGGATACTCAGAAGGTGATGATAAACCATTGGAATGTGGCTGCCTATCCATAAAACCATTCAGCGAAACAACGTTTAGACGAACGCAAAACCTCACTAAATCTCCCCTTTTTGGTGTGGTTTGGCACCTGCAGGCCTGGGGTTGTTTGCTCCTCGTGCTGGGACACACAGCGTGCTGCCAGGTGCCCCTTGATGCCACCAGCACAGCCGAGGTTTGCCTGTGTGCTGGTGTCCTAGGGGAGCCCGAGTGCAGTGCTCGATGCACAGGGCGGTTCTGGTGATAAAAATTAGGAAATACTTTGCTGAGTGACTGCACGTGCAAGGATCTCAGCATCCAAGCACTTCAGGAGCCATCGGAGCTGCAGCCTCCTTTTTCACATAGTTTGGAAACACGGTTCCAAAGGAAGACTTGGGGGTCTGCCCTGCCACCAGGCTCTCCCCCACCTCACTGACAGCTTCTGCTTGCTAATTTGACAGGTGAGGCTTTGTGCCTTTTATTTTTTTTATCAAACACAAAGCAGGTGGCTGGGATGATGGGCGAGTTTCCTTGGCTAAATAGGCGCTCCCAGGCTGACCTCTGCTCCTGTGTGGCTTCCAGCGCGGGGTGTGAGCAGGAGGCTGAGCTGGGAGAAGCTGCAGCGAGGTCTCCTGCCTTGCTGGACATGAGAATGTATCCCTCAGGGTCCATCCTCTTTTTGTGTGGGGTCCTTTGTACTTACCAGGACAAACTGTTCGGTGGAAGCAGCCTCTCTGATGAGGATATTCATTGCTTCCCTTCTGTGTGGGCTCTCCGAAGCCTCACGAGGGGATTTGTTCAGCCTTTAATACAATTAAGAAGTCAGGCAAGAGTTGCAAATCTGGTTGGTCTCGTTTGTTTCAATGTTCATAGCTGCATCCGAAGCTCACATCTGCACAGCACAGCGGGGCAGCATAGGGAGGGAGGATTTCTATGGCTTCAGCTGAGATTGCAGGTGCTGCTGGGGGCTGGGGAAGGATTTTGTCCCATGCAGAGCATGAGATGGGGGGAAGGACTCAGCCCATCAGTGGCAGGACAGTGCACAGAATGACATCTGCGATCCTCATTGCACTGACTTCTATCTAAGGTCGTTAGCTGGTGTGAATTGGACTCAGGCAACTGGTGGATGGTGAGTGACAAACAGGGGACAGGATGGTTCCTGCTGGAAAAGCCTTTGGTAACGCTGCTGCCTTCATCTCAGCATTATCTTGCTGAATTTGCCCCGAGCTATGGAATGCTGTCTTTACAAAAGAGAAATGGGGAGGAAAAATACCTATTTTATCTTGGTGCTCTGAGTTCTGTTTCTTCACGGAATCTTGGAATCTGATAAAGCATTCATATGCACGTATGCATACATGCCTGTTGTGTTTGTCTTCAAAATATGCATTTCTATAGCTTTGGTAGTAAAGAGCTCTTAAAACCAAAGAAGTTGAGGCTAACTTGTTTAATTGTTTAATTTCCTGTGACTTTCAGTACGAGCTTTAGCTTAGGTTAAACACAGAATGTAAGCATGAGGATGTTTATGCTCTGTAGCTCTGTTTCAGGCGAAATCAGGAGTTGTGTTCCTGAGGGGCTGGCTGTGGCAAATCGAGTGAAGTCAAAGCCAGGTTAAACTGAATGCCCTTAAGAACAAGCAGACCTTTGCTCTGCCCCGCTGCAGCTGTATATTTAGCCTATATGCCCTTTCCAATTACAGCCAGGAGAAGACACCCGAGGAGGAATGTAAGTCATACCCGCCCTGAGTGCTGCCCTGGGATCCATCACAAAGTGCTTCTCGAGCCAGAAGCAGTGCCTTGGTAACTTCTCTCCATAAAACTGACCCCTCCCTCCCTCCCTCCTCCTTGGGGTTTAACATTTACCACGTCCACAGCCTCGTTCTGCACAGGGCTGAGCTTGGTGCATGCCTTACTCCTGATGCATCCATCAGCAGCCCCTTGCGCCCAGCCCCCGGTGCCTCTGTACCTGCTGTGCTCTGCCTGCTTCTCACCAGGGCAGTGCAGTTATTTCTCATGCAGGGTCCGTCCTGTATCCAGATAATCCCTTCTGGTGCTTCTTTGGAGGCCTGATGTCAGGACAGCACTGTGAAGCAGTCTTCAGTTGTTATTTGGAGTCCCCTCTGTGGATTTATCCTAATTTGCCTGTGTGCTGCCAGGACCGCGGCAGTTCTGGCTGCGATGTTCCTAATTACAGGGGAAAAAATGGTCTCTGAGGCATCCTAAATATTTGGGCCGATAATATCAGTTTCCTTTTAACTGAGCGCACTTGAAGATACGATCTGGGTTGTCTGTTTGGGAATAGCAAAGTGGGAGGAAGGGATTGATTGTGGTTGCTGAAGCTCTCATCAAAGGGAGAAGTCCCACCCGGCCAAAATCACTGCTGTGGTCACTTGTGCGGGTCTGGCGTGGTGATGGGTGGTGTGGATTCTCCTGAGCTCCAGGGCATCACAGTGGCACGTGCTGAGCATGGGTTTTGAGGGACCTGCAAGCAGGATCTCACAGCTGGGAGGCATCCACCTGGTCTTCTGGCAGAGTCAGGTCCGTGTGCAAGCGCCTGCTTCCTTCTTGGTGGTACAGAGCTCCATCTTGCAAAGAGAAGGTAATGACGAGTAGCAGGAAAGCTTCCCCTGAGCTATGAGTAGGTTAAATATCTCAGTGCTTACTCTAGCAGAATAAAAACTGCTTTGAGGTGTCGATTGCTGTGACCACTTCCCCTGCAAGCTCCGTGGAGCGGCTGTTGGCAGTATGACCTGAGGCAGCGAGTGACAGTTTGCAGTTCCCATCTGCAGAAGTTCTGCTCGTCTCTCTGCCCAGCACATACCTCAGCACAGCTGAGTTTTGTTGTTTTTTCCCCTAAATTGTTGCTCAGTGTCAGGGTTTCCTGTTGCTGACAACAGCTGTGCTGGAGATGAGCGGAACCTGCTACTTCATATTTGGTCTATGGTTACAGGCGTGCAGGACACGAATGCATTCAGCATTAAACCACAACTGCAGGGGTGAGCTTGTCTTTCAGAGAGGCATCCTGTCCCGTGCACGTCCTCACTGCACGTCTCTGCTCGGGGTGGGGGGCATGGCTTCGTGGAGGGAGAATGTCTGTCCCCAGCTTTGCCCGTCTGCTCATGCCAGCTGCGTGACAAATGTCCTGAGCAACTGTCCTCCTGCGTGTCCCTCCCATAACTCACCAGGCATGCAGAGGCTGGAGCTGGTGAGTGCCTGGGTCACTGCTGTGCTGGAGGGTGGGAGAAGCCCCCACCTGCCCAACCTCCCCCCGAAGCTCCCACAGCCGTGCACTGAGCAGCAGTAGGCACTGGGGCATGTGCAGCACTGTGCCCCTGCCCGCACCCAGCCATCCCACCACATTGCATCATTCCTCCTGCTTGCTGCCTCGACACGCAGCCACTGATGGGACTTGCCCAGAGATCCTCCTGTGGGAACATGCACGAGAGCTGTGCACGTACAATAGATGTGCTTTGGGAAGTTGCACCAGCCCATTGCATTCTGCTCCGAGTTGGCTTCCTTAGGGAGAGACCATTTGTTTCAGTGATGTCTTTATGGGGACAGTGGTAAGTAAGCAGCTCAGGTAGGTGGGATTCCTCCTTGCTCTCCTTAATTCTTTATTCGGAGCAGGACGTGGTAGGCAGCTACTCAGGCTTTCAGCGTGCAAGATTCAGAGGCATTAACATGCTGGCAGTGATTAATTACCACAGCCCACTGATGTGACTGTACTTGAGCAATTGGATTAGGTGCAGCTGTGCTGGGGCTCACGTTAGCAGGTTCTCGCTGGAGCTGCGATGCAGTTGGCCACACAGAAGCAGTTCCTAGGGCAGCTGCACTCCTGCTGGTCCTGCGGTGGGCAGTCAGCAAGGTCCTATGGCTGCCAGGAGCTGTGTTGTCCAGGTCTCGCTTTCGGCCCCATCTTCTAGCTGCTCTGTTCTGCCTTCCTGCATGTGAAGCAGTGCATATCCTTAGCACATCAGCAGGCCTTGTGGTTGCATGGAGGAGTCAGCTCCAGCATTGTCTTGGCAAGTCAGCATCATATCAGCATCACCCAGCAGGCCCGGCTGCGTGCTCCAAGATGGGGATTTGGCATCAGCAATCAGGCATCAACATTGGCGTGTGTGCTGAGCACCAAGGCCAAAGCAGATGTTGATCCCAGCTTTGATGTTTAATCCAGCGTTTTGGAGGTTCAAAGTGGAGACCCGAAAGAGCTCTCACAGAAGCAGGAGGATAAAGAGAAACTTGGTATTTTCATAAGATCAGACAGAGCAAAAACATCCTGAAATTCAGGACTAACCTGAACCTTTGTGGTGGTTCTGCCAAACAGGGCAGCGCGGATCCTGTGGAGAAGCTGGGGCGGCCCGGCAACCTGAAAGCAAGAGGATGAGCCCTGCAGCACGGTGATGCCTGCAGAGCAGAGAGCAGCACTGCAGAATTCTGTTTGATTTTTGGCTCTGTTCTGAGCTTGCATGAAACGGCAGAATCATGGAATGGCTTAGGTTGGAGGGGGCCTTAAAGATGTGTAGTTTCAACTCACTGAAGCAGGCAGGGATGCCAACCACCAGCTCAACTGCTCACCCAGGATCCCACCCAGCCTGGCCTCGAGCACATCCAGAGATGGGGCATCCACATCCTCTCTGGGCAGCCTGTCCCAGCACCCGGCTGGGCCTTCCTGATCCTCCCCGGCTCCGTGCTACTCACAGCTCGTGGAAGGTGATCCTGAGCACTGTTATCTTCTACCTGTGACTGAGCAGCCTCAAACAAGTGAGTCTGCGTTCTGCCAGTCACCGCACGTGAAATAGTTTGGCTGTAGCTCTTGAACTTCCCCGGAGGCGTCGTGCAGGTGCCCGTGCTTTTTCCACCCTCCCACGTTTGTTCTGCTGCGTGTCTGCACTTGTATCTAGACTCACAGCTCCGTGCTGTGCACAGGTGGGGGTCTGTCATGAAGAGACCATAGCTGGGGGCCTTGCTGTGGTTGTGGGGAGCTGCCCTGCCTTTGGTGCCAGGCTCTCACACTGTGCTGGGACCACCTCAGCTTATTGTTTGGTGAGGAGCTGTATTAAAGAGATTTCTTGGTGCTGTAGTGCTGTTCTTGCTTCTCCTGGCTTTTCTTTTGACAACGACTCCAGAATTCTTCCTGTACTTCCATCGTGCTCTGCTTCTGGGTACAGAGACTGTTCTGTGGTTTTCCTAAACGGAATTTGGAATTGGTGTGACCTACAGTTGTCAGACTGGAGCTGCACAGCCGGTGCTTGACTTGCCTGGCCGAGGGGCACAGGCAGTGCCTGCTGCCTGCTCCGGGGATTCTTTCTGCGGTGGGTGATGACTTCATCCTCCTCTCCTGCTTGCCACAGATATCAGGGGCTGGCTCCGTTCTGCCCAGGCGCTCCTACCCGTCGGACAGGATTACCCTGGGGCAAAGTTGGCTTAACAACACAGAGCCGCGCCATGGCAGCGCGTGGTTCTGCAGCTTTGCCAAGGGGGGGGCATTGCTGCTGTGGGGACACGGTGCCTGCCTCTGCAGGTGTGGCTGCAGCTTTGCACGGCTGCTGCTGGCTGCCCGTCTGTCCTGCTGTCTGCACGTCCGTCCCACGCAGGTGTGGAGACTCAGCTGTGAGCAGCAGCCGTGTTTCTGTGCTGATACCATCTCAGCTCCACAGCAGCCACATTCCTCAGCTGCTGCCTTCCTCCCCTGGCTGCAGCCGCTGATCCTGCCCACGCTTGCAGCACGGCTGCTCTCTTGTCCCTCTGTGCAGCAGGATCTTCCAGTGATGGGGCTGCAGGAGAAGCAGCTCATGGACAAGCTGCTGTGTGTGCAGACTCTATGGAGGCTGAGAGCCTCTACTTTCTTATAGCCCTGTGCAGAGTGACAGTGTCCTGGTTTCCCACTGTGGCAGTCAGTGGCCTCACCAGGACCTCCTGCAGAGCCTTGTTCTGTCTCCAGAACTCATTCAGAACAAGATGTGCAGAGCGTGTTGGAAGTTCTCTGGGTACCTGTTGTGGTAGTTCTCCTCTTGTTGAGGTGACTTCAAACTCATCCAAATTCACCGCGTCCAAAATCCATCCACATCCCTGTGCCATTTGATGTGTGTCAGATTCTCATCTGCTAACAAGGCAGGGAGCTGGTAGGAGCTGTGGCCTGCAGGAAGTGAGACTTGCCTTTACCTCTCCAGCTGTTCCATTTCTGGTGGTGACAGTCTCTGGAGAGGCAGCTCAGGTGTTTGACTCTGGATAAAGACCACAGTGTTGCCTTTGGGAAGAGGCTGGATTTGGTTTCTCTGTTACTCAGCCCGATGTGCTCCTGTCCTGGGCTCTCCTCTGGCCCAGCATCTCTCACTGACCCCCTCCCAGCTGATTCCCAGGGCTTTCCAGCACTGTTTTCCACCTGTGCTGTTTCTCCTGCCTTTCACTCGAGGCCTTTCTGAGACTGGCAATGCTCAGATCAGATATCTGCCTGACAAATGCTGCAGGTTACCGTGTTCAACTCACAATCCCACTGCCCCTGGGTGCTTCCTTGCGGTGGCACAGAGGTGTCAGCCCTCTGCCCGCAGGTGGGGAAGGCCTGTTGCAGGGTGAGGACCCTTCTCCCTTCTGTGCCAGCCTTTGCACAACCCCTCTGCCTTCTCCCTTCTGCAGTAGGCCTGGCTGTGCAGCCGCGTGGCCTCCGGGCGCACCATGCTGCAGCAATGGCTGACGGGCTGCAGGATTTGGGAGTGGATTAAGTTTCATCTCGACAAGCAAACAGCTCCAGGGGTGAGGAACGCTGAAGCATCCTCAGCCCAAGGACTCAGTGTCCAGAATAGCACAAGCTCTGCGTCAGCCTCAGAGCACCCACAGCGTGCTCCAGCTTTGTTCGTTAGCTGGGCGGATGCAGAACCCGCCCTGTGATAGCTTTGCACAGGGCAGCTCCCAGCCCTGCTCACACAACTCTGCACCCAGGGCAGCAGGAGGTGTGCGAGGGCAGCCAGGCGTGCACCCCCAGCGTGGGAGCTGTGCTGGGGGCTGTGGCTGTTGGTCGTGAGGAGGGCAGGGTTTGCTCTGGGATTTCGGAGCTGCTGCTCTCAGCCTGGGAAATAAAGGGTTGGTTAAAGGTGCCTGAGCACCTGGGTCCATGGTAGTCCAGTTCCAAGTGCTCTCTTGGCCTCACGTGCGTAGCTTGCTCGGGTCTGATCCTAGATTGCATGTTGCTGGCCCCAGAGTCAGGTATGAACACTGGTGAATCCCACAGGCTGGAACAGAGCACAACTGGTTTGAGAAGCCAGGCTATGGGGCGGAGGAGAGGAAGAATCTGTAAGCATCTGTCATGCATTGAGTATCAAAGGTTTCTAGGGACCTTCATGCTGAGTAATCAGCATTTAAATGTGCTGCTGCCCCAGCCTGAGTGCAGCTTGCCTCCAAAGACCCCTCTGCGCTGTGCTCTGCCACCAGCTGTGTCTGCCCAGAGCCTGGGGCCAGTGGGTGCTCCAGGAGCAGCAGAACTGTGTGCATGGAAAGCATTGCTTTAGAGATGCTGTATATCAGGAAAAGAGCTGGGAAGCTCTCTCTGATAGTGTCAACTCTTAGGGTTTAATCCAAAAGCAAATTAGAACAAACAGGTGGAAGGTGGGAAGCCCGGTGCCCATCACGAGGAGATCTGTGCGTGCTGGCTGGCTGGCTGGGGATTGCGATTAATTTGCAATTAATTCGGTTTCCTTTCTTCACCCAGGTTGCCAGGACCCTTAGGATGAGGCTGCTGTGAGGAGTGGCAGATCCACTGCCCGCACTGCCGTGCCTGCACACCCCACCCCACATCCCTCCTCCTGCTGGAGCGCCGTCCGAGAGCCACTGGGCAGAATGACTGTTGGATGTGTCCTGCAGCCCCCGTTCCTGGGGAGGACTTTGCTCCCGGTGCTGCTGCTCGCAGCCTCAGCTCACTGCCACTGGCCCAGCGAGCCAGCAGAAGTGCTGAAGGACTGGGAAAACCAGCTCGAGGCCTCCATGCACTCCGTGCTCTCAGACCTCCGAGAGACTGTGCCGGCTGTGGTGGGGATACCAGACAGCTCTGCCGTGGTGGGCCGCTTCTTCAGAGTCTCCATCCCCACAGATTTAATTGCTTCCAATGGAGAAGTAGTCCAGGTGAGAAATGGCATTCCTTGGGGCTCATTTTCAGTCGTTTGTGGGGTTACCACGAGAATGCGGTGAAGTTGCTGCAGAGCTCCCTTCAGGCTTTGTAGGGCTGTGGAAGAAGGACATAGATCTTTCTCACCTCTCTGCAAAGTTTCTTTCCTCTATGGTAAGGCTGTTTTTGAGACGGCTGCTCAGGTTTGTTGGCTGCATTGAAGCTGTAAAGCACACAGCCCCTGGCACGGTGGGGAGATGCTGCCTCGGGATCGGGGCAGCTGTGCATTGCCTGAGACTGCTGCCGTGACACTCGGGGAGCCTGCTTCACTATGGTAACAAAATACTGCCAGACAAACAGGCTGTGTTCTGGGAGCAGGACTCTGTTCTGTGTTTGACGTAGTCTTTCCTGACCTTGTCCCTAAGTCCTCTTGGGAAGATCAGAACCTTTCTTTTCGTCTGACCTACTGGCACTGCGGACATCCAAAAACTAAGCTTTGTAAGCTGTCCTGGGGGCAAGGAAGTGTTGGGGCAGGCTGGAGGAGGACAGACGTGCTGCCAAACAGATACTTGTTCAGCTCTTGTCCTTTTCTGGAAGGGTGCTGAGAAGTTGTCTCAGCATCTGCTGGAGAGCTCAGGAAAATTCTGTTTTTGAAAGAAAGCAGAATTCCAATCTTAGTTGTTGGTTTTTTTTCCGAAAGTAGAATTGAAAAATACTTTTAAAAATCCATTTTTGGAAAATGTTGTAACAGAGCAAACTTCGAGTGCCTTTCAGAAGATCAGAGGCAGATAGAGCAACTCAGGAGGCATCCTGACATCTCAGCCTCTCCTTGCAGGCAGGTTTGTTTTAGCTGTGCATGCTGTTGTGCAATTACATCAGTCCGGATTCACCATCTCACTGTCTCCAGCTCTGGGATTGCAGCATCCTGATGGCAGGTAGAAAATCTGAAGAATGCATCTGTTATTGACTGTCAGATGGGGGGATAGAGACGTGTGGTGGGTGAGCCCTGGGGTTTGCTGGAGGTGGGGTGGGCTGGTTTCAGAGCAAGGGTTGTGATGATTAATGAAACTGGTGGAGAGTGGTGGTGGCTGCCCTACTTGAACCACTGCCAGGTGGGGGTTTGTTAGCACAGGACACTGATGTGAGGGTAGCAGGCTTCAGCTCTGGAGGGAGCAGACTCTTCAGTGTGGATCTTTGTGAGCAGGAGAGTTGTTCAGGGCTGCTGTGCCCGTGAGCTCTGCCTGGTTTGTGGCTTGGTGTGTGGTGGGTGCTGCTGCCAGCACCACGGGAGCTTTATCTTTCCCTGTGAATTCACTGGAGGAAACTGTCAAGATCTTGTGCTACAGAAATGATCGCTTTGGTTTTGAGCTTTGTTGCAGACTGGCTTGTTTTGGTGTTGTCTAGTGGCTACTTTGATGGCAAGAAGGCATTCTCAGTGCTTGTTCAACACCACAGCTGCATCACTCTCCTCCTCCTGGCGCAACAGTCGTCTTTGATAGCTGTAGGGTGGCTCTGTGGTGTGTTATTTCAGCCCCATCTAATAGCTCCGAACAATACTTCTGCCACTGGTGTCAGGGAGTCTTTGCTGATAGCAACAGATGCTTGGAGAGCAGCAAAGGGAGCGTGCTGGAGCGGGGCTGGAGGAGCAGTTGCTGGCTGAGATGTAGATCAGCAAAGGCTGGGAGCAATTTCCACGCTCATACGTGGGTTTGCCTGAATGCACATTGCATCTGTTCACCTTGAAATTGATTTTAAAAGTGAAGCAGGCTCTGTGGCAGTGCTCCTGGCCTCACTTAGCAGGCATCTGGAAGGGCTCTCCCTTGCACCGAGAGCTGTGTTGGCTGCTGAGCGAGGCCAGCCTTCCCAATGGGGATCTGATTCCTGGCGTACAAAGGCAATCCTGGAGTGCTGGGGTGCTTTCAGGGCAAGCTGTTCTGCTCTTTTTCTCAGGCTGCCTCAGCCAGAGCAGTGATAACATGGTGCATTTAGGGGAAGTTTCTCACTCAGAGGGTGGTGAGGCACTGGAACAGGTTGCCCAAGGAGGCTGTGGATGCCCCATCCCTGCAGGCATTCAAGGCCAGGCTGGATGTGGCTCTGGGCAGCCTGGTCTGCTGGTTGGCGACCTGCACATAGCAGGGGGTTGAAATGAGATGATCATTGTGGTCCTTTTCAACCCAGGCCATTCTAGGATTCTATAGTCTGGATGTTGCTAAATGAGTTACTTGACCCCTAATGAGAGAGAGTAGGGACACCCTTTTGAGATGTAGCAGTGAATCAGTGCTTACAAGGAGATGTACTTGCCTACGTTCAGTCCCCTTAAATTTCTAGGAAGCTGGATATCATCTCATTTAGAAGAAAAAAAATTGAGCAATTGATACACGACATCCCCCAAACCTCAGGAGCCTGGGAGTGGTGTGGCTGCTCCATTTCTAGGCAATTCCCACCGATAGGTTCAGTCCTCACTGTGGTGGGGGGAGCCCCTTGAAGCTGCCTCTCGGCTCCTCTCCCTGCTTGTTAGCAGATTCCAGCCGCCTGCAGACAAAGTAGTTTTCTCTGCATACTTGGTTGTGGGCTGGAAACAACGGGCAGCATTGGCAGCGCTGCGGAGGAGTGCCTGGCAGGCGCCTGCCCAGCTGCGTGGGCTCACTGCACAGTCAGGTAGTGCTGCTGCCAGCAGGCACCAGTGCTTCCCTGCTAACCCCCAGCCAGCTTCAGAGCAGGTGAGGAGCACGAAAGCAAGTTTATTCCAGTGCGTTGGAGCAGCTCATCAGAACGCAGAGGTGGATGTGCAGATGAAGGAGCAAACCCTGACCTGTTGCATCCCTGCAGCCAGCAGGGCAGCGTGCTCTGCTGCGTCCTGTTGTTGAGAAACTCATCGCACCCAGGGTAAAAGCAGTTGGATTTCCTGCTCTTATTGCTTCCATTTGAAGGCTGTTCCAGAATTGGGCTACTCTGATTAAAAATGCAACTTCCAGCCTAAATTTAGAGATAGCTAGAAATATTTGTGCTGCCCTTTAGCCTGAATCTCTCTTCCACCTTCATAATATTTACTTCCTTTATGTATTTAAAAGTGACAGGCATGTTCTCCTGTCTTGATTTGATTAAATTAAACAAGCCAATCTCTTTAGTCTTTCCCCATAAAATAAGCTTTCTTTTCCTCTCCTCATTTTGCAGCTGTCTTCTGCACCTCTTCCAGCTTGAGTTTATTTTTCTTGTGGGTGCCTGACCAGAGCTATACAAAGTACTGCAGGCAAAATGTTACTGGAGCCTTGTATAAAACTTCCTTTTCTCTGCTATAAATACCCCATCCCATAATTGTGTGCTTTTCCATGTCTGCCTTTGGCTCAAACCCTATGTGATCAGCTGGAATACCCAGGGCTGTAGTCTTTCTCCTTCCAGTTCATGAGGTCCCAGGAGAGCACATTAGCCAAGGTGAGTGGTCTGGGATTTGGTGTGACCATTCTTGTTCTCAGTGAGGTCTGGGAGTGCAACCTCTAAGGTTGTCCCATTCTCCCTGCGTGCAAATCTGTGCCTCCCATCGCTGCCTGAGTGACAGCAGATAATCGATGCAAGGGCAGCAGCACTAACACTTACAGCACTGTTGTCAGAATTTGGAACAGTGGCTTTTGCAGCAAGTGCAGCTCTCTTCTCTCAGCACCCCCACTCACATCAGGAAAGCCAACGCCAAGTTAAAACCAGACAAAGGACAGCATTGATGTGGTGATTGCCCCCGTCCTGGCTCCAAGAAGCTGATCTGGCTGCTGGGAAAGCTGTTGCAAAAAGCATCTGATGTCTGCAGGAGAGGCTTTCTGGTGCCAAACTGTGAACCAGAGGCAGCGTTTCTCCAATCTGGTTGCAGGAAACAGGAGACATCTGGGCTTCCAGCTTCTCTCCAGGAACACCGGGCAGTGCCCCCAGATCTGAACGTTAGGTGCAGTCGCAAGGCATGCAGCTCAAACACAACTGTTAGGTCATTTCCTTGAACTTCTGCCATTTGTAGCCATCTACAAAGCCAGGCAGAGCTGGGGAGCACAGTGACAGAGGGGGCCTGGGGCAGGTCCCAGCAGCATATCTGCTCAGCCAGAATTGAAGGCTCCAGGTGAGCACTCCTGGGGAGGAGTCCACTCCTGATGTGCTCCTGATGTGTTGGAGGTGCACGGCATCACTGGGGCTTTGTGGGGAAAGTAGATGGAGCACGTAGCAGGGCCCCAAGGAGCTGCTGCTCTGTGCAAGCATAGCTGGTGGTGAAGTGATGACAGCAGCAGAACTAACTCAGGCAGCTGCTGTGTGTGGTGCATCTGTGCTGAGGGTTGGTGAGGCCATCTGAGCGCCGGGTAGCAATCTGGGCAAACAAAGTCTTTGCTTTCCAGGCAGGAGCCTGATCTTTCCAATGGTTGTTCTGCCTGCCATTTGCTGGAGTGGCTCTTGCTACACAGCTTTGCTCTCACCAGCCTTCGGGGGCCTTGTTTTAGGGCTGGAGGAGTCCTGGCATTAGAATTGGCCATCAGCACCGTGCCTCAGGGTCCTCATGGTGCACTGAGCAGAGGCTGCTGGGCACACTGAGCTGTATGGAAGGGAAACACTGCAGCAGCTTCACCTCTCTCCCCAGTTTCCTTAGACCTTGACTAAGAGATGAAGCAACAGCAGCTATTTACAGGGGCTGTGCTGGGATAAAGGTGATGTCTGGAGCAGGTCCAGGCAAAGGGCTTCTTGGGCAGGGCACTGCCTGAGAGCAATGCTGCAATTGGGGTGATAAGAGGAGCTGATAAGGCTGCTGTTGGGGGGCCGAGGGACTGCTTATCTCCTTCCTGCAGCAAAACAGTTGGGGAGTTTGGCATTTTCAGTGCACGCTTAGTAACAAGCTCTGAATTTGGAGGAGTGGAAAATGTGACTCAATCTAATTATAAACCAGCTCTTCAGACAGGCTGGGAAGTTCCTTGTTTTGTCCTGCTTGGCCGAGCTGCTGCCCTGAGCATCCGGGGAGACTGAAGCAAGACGGGAAGCAGCAGCACCCTGTGCACAGCCTGACCCGGGGCTGCCAGCCCCACTCACCTCTCCTTGCCCCTCTTCCCAGATCCCTGTGATGTGCTGGTGGCAGGAGGAAGGCACAGGGCTGGCAGCACCGAGCCCCCAGTGCTCGGCATCCCCGCCCCCTGGTATTTTTGCTTCCCTTTGGGCTTTTGCTTACAGAAAGTTGCTCTGAGGGAAGATCCTGCCCCGAGCTGCGTTTTGGGGCCACGTCAGGCTTTTCCTGCCCCACATTCACCCCCAGCCGTGCCATAGGGCAGCGCGTGGGCCGCACCACGACAAAGCGGCTGCACAAACCGCAGCCACAGCCCCGTGAAAGGAGGGTTTCTTGGGACGCTCCGTGTTCTGCCACGACCTCCAGTGAAGCAGCCGCTGTGTTCCCTCGCCCAGGCCCGGTGGGACTCTGAATGGTGCCCTTATAGCAGGAGCGAGGGCACGGCAGGGAATGGCATGGCTGGGGGCGGCCGCCCGGCGCAGGGCCAGCGGGTGGCTCAGGGCGGTGCTGGGGGAGCAGAGCGGGGCGGCTGTGTGTGTGCAGCTGCCAGGGAGCAGCTCTGTGCTCGCTGCACCCACCTCACTCCCAGCCTCCCAGGGCAGGTGGGGAGGCTCAGGCTGACTCTGGCTGTGCCCTCTGCTACAGTCCTGCACAGTGCTGGGGCTCAGCTGACGTGCGTCTGCTGTCACAGACATGAACACGGGGAGAAGGGGCGGCAAAGAGCTGCAGGAGGACCTATCACAGAATCACAGAATGGCCAGGGCTGGAAGGGACCTCAAGGATCATGAATCTCCAACCCCCCTGCCACACGCAGGGCCACCAACCTCCACATTTAATACCAGCCCAGGCTGCTCAGCGCTCCATCCAACCTGGCCTTGAACACCTCCAGGGATGGACGGGGCATCCACAGCCTCTCTGGGCAGCTGTTCCAGCACCTCACCACTCTCATAGGAAAGAACTTCCCCCTGACATCCAACCCAAATCTTCCCTCCCTCAACTTCAAACCATTTCCCCTTGTCCTGCTGTCACTCACCCTTTCAAAGAGTTGATTCCCCTCCTGTCTGTAGGCTCCCTTTAGGTACTGAAAGGATGCAACAAGGTCACCCCGCAGCCTTCTTTTCTCCAGGCTGAACAAGCCCAGCTCCCTCAGCCTGTCTTTGTAGGGCAGGTGCTCCAGCCCCCTGATCATCTTTGTGGCCCTCCTCTGGACCCTCTCCAACAGCTCCCTGTCTTTCTTGTACTGGGGGCTCCACACTTGGATGCAGTATTCCAGATGGGGCCTCACAAGAGCAGAGTAGAGGGGAACAATCACCTCTCTGTCCCTGCTGGCCACCCCTCTGCTGATGGAGCCCAGGATCCCATTTGCCTTCCGAGCCACAAGGGCACACTGCTGGCTCATGTTAAGTTTTTCATCTATCAGGACCCCCAGGTCTTTCTCCACAGGGCTGCTCTCAAGGCCCACTCCTTCTCTGGGACTTTGTAGGAGAGGGCACGGGCAGTGGGAGCATGGAGTCCTCGGCTGCCTGGGTAGCGAAGGTCCCTCAGCACAGGGCTGGGGAGCCTCCCTGCTGCCCCCAGCATTCACCTCCACCCAGCAGGGCTGTGTCCTGGCACCGCGGCCGTCCTGGCATGGGATCACTGCCTGCTTTCTGCAGGATTCCATGGGAGGAGGAGGACTGAATACTTGGAGGATTAGAGGGGACTTTTGTAAGCAAGAATGCTGGTTTTTTCTGCCTGAATTCCCTCGGAGGCAGCAGCTCTGCTCAGAGCTTGTTTGCTTCTCTTTGTCTCGTTGGCTACAAGGGCTCTGAGCTCCAAGTTTGAAAAACAAATCAAATGGAGCTATCTTAGTTTATGAGCTGCCTGCCTGCTCCTAGCCGGCCTAAAAATAACAGCAGTGCATGTGTGCTGGGAGCGGGGTCTCGGAGCAGCCAGACCCCTGTGTGGATTTAAAATTACTCGTTTTGTGATGGTCTTCAGCGTGCTGCCAGGCTGCTGTAACCTTTAGCCGATAAGCATTGGTTTACAATTATCTCAGCTATCGGAAAAACAAAGGCGGCCCTCTTTTCTTGAGCAACAGCAGAGTTGTTTTGAAAGCAGAGCTCTGCGGAAAATGATGGGGCTTAAGGCTGATATTTATGGTGTGCGTGGAAAGCTGGGAAGCTGTACATGAAAGAGAGAGATCCCGAATCATTAACCGTGTGCAGCCTCGACAAATACTGTCGGAAGCGATACTGGGAGGAAATGCTGATAGAAAGGAGTCTGGAGCTCTGCTCACGTGCAGCACAGTTCCCTAACAGCAGTGACGTGACCAGGACAGAGCTACGTGGAGGGCTTTGCTGGAGCCTAACACGAGTCCTTAAGGATGGGAGTTGGGTCAGACCTGGCAGTGTCCCCACGAGGTTCTGCTGGGGGTGCCAGCAGTGCTTTTCCCTCTATATGCTTCAAGGAAGAGCAGGAGAGAAGTTGGTCCTGAGCAGTTGGCCTCCACCTCCAAGACCCTGCCATGTCTGCCAGAAAAAGCTGTTAAAGTAAAGCTGGTAAAGTAGTTTTCAAAGCATAAAAAGTCACAGTGAGCCATGTCTCACTCTGTTCTTTTGGCACGTGAGGTTGGGCACTATTTCTGAGTCATTCTGGTTATCAAACAGCAACGTGAGGAGCACACAAGACCGTTGGTTGTGTGCTGGGAGCCTTTTCCAGCAACTTGGGTTGTACAGCAGCCACAGGGAAAAGGGAGCAGCCGAAGGCCTGGCTCACAGGGAAGCTCAGCAGCACGTGACCCTGTGATTAGTGGCTCGCAGAGCACACGGATGAGGGAGGCTTGTCCCACATACAGCCTGAAATTACACGTCCTGCTTGCATCTAACCACTCGCTGTTAAAGTCTGCGTTCTTCTTGACTGGGTGAGTCTCAGCAGCACTGTGGCCACGTCCCCCTGTGTGTTTGCTCCTCACCTCTCCACAGGCGTGTTGGTGGCTCCTGGTTCTGGAGCAGGTCCTGCCACTGTCCCCATCTGGAGCAAGGAGTGCCCGAGGAAGGACAGCCTGTCCTCGCCAAGGAGCCCAGCCCATGGGCTCAGCTGAAGGGCTGGTGCTCCTTGGGGCTGCCAGGGTCATGGCAGCTCCTAACCCTGCCGTGGTGGAGAGGAGGGTGCCAGCACTGCCAGAGCCTGCAGCTTTCTGCTGGCAGAAAGGGGTGAGCAGCAGAACTGGATGAGAGGGCATCACATCTTGAGCCCTGGACCTGGAAGGGCTACATTGGTGTTTAAGGTCCTTGGGACTTTCTACCTCTGGTGCAAAGAGGAATCTTTATTTTGTGCTCTCTGACACTATGGCTTGGGCGTTAACTGAAAGATGTGCTAACAGCTTTAAGCTCTGCTCCACAAACCATACCATGCCTTGTGACACACTTTCTGGCCTGCCCAGGCTGGCAGAGCGGGGCTGATTCCTGCAGCCCTCCGCTGCTCTGGCACACAGCGTCCTCATGCTGCTCCCAGCAGGTTCCCAGCCCCTGTGCTATCCTTGCAGACAGCCTCCTCCTGCTCTCCTTACCCTTTTGAAGTAGCAGCTTTGTTCTTAGCAGATGAAAAGCACAAAAGTAGCCAGCGGAGAGAGACCTGGTTGTGCTGCAGCTCTGCGAGCCTTTCTGCAGGGCTCTTGGGCACCCAGGTTTTCAGAGCAGGACCCTGTGAGGCTGCTTTCCCCGTGGGACTTCTTGAGCAGGCCTGGTAGTGCTGCTGAGGGGAGTGGGCTGTTCTCTGCATGGGCAATGAGGTGGGGGAACCAGAGCCCTGAGGGATGAGCAGTGCCTGCTGAGAAAGAGGGAGCTGTGATCCTGCGTTGCCTTCTGCCCATCTGCACCTCGAGCCCTATAAAAAAAGCATTGCTGTGACCTAAAAGCCGTAGGTAAACAGTGAACTGGAGTCCTGAGGCGTCTGTGGTCTGCAGCTTTATTTCTTGTCTGTGAAAGCAAGTTACTGTATGAAAGTGAAATCCTGCAGGCCGGTGACCTTTGCAGCGCTTGATGAGATCCTGTGGTCCTTCAGGTCTTAGGGACCTGTGCACCCTGCAGAGCCTGTCCTTGTCACCATGCCGAGGGGATGACACCGGCTGCCCCGCTCCCACCAGGCCGTTCCTTCCCCAGTTGTTACCTTTCAGGTTTTTTCTCCTTTTAATTAAATGTTATTGCTGGTATAATCTGTCCTGATGCCGTACTTCTAAAAGCTCTTTTTTCTCTTCTTTGGCAGGTCTCCGAGGCTGGGAAGGAGTCCTTGCCTTCGTGGTTACACTGGAACGCGGAGAGCAGCTCCCTGGAAGGGCTGCCCCTGGACACGGACAAGGGTGTGCACTACATCTCGGTGACCACGCTGCAGCCCTTCCCCAACGGCAGCTACGTGCCGCAGGCCGCCAACGTCTTCTCCGTGGAGGTGCACCAGGAAGACCACAGCGAGCCGCAGTCGGTGCGAGCGGCAGCCCAGGATATGGGCGACACCGCGCCGTTCGTGTGCGGTGCGGAGGAGCCGGTCACCATCCTGACCGTCATTCTGGATGCCGATTTGACAAAAATGACACCAAAGCAGAGGATTGAACTTTTAAACAGGATGAGAAGCTTCTCAGAGGTGGAGCTTCACAACATGAAGTTGGTTCCTGTTGTAAATAACAGACTCTTTGACATGTCGGCTTTCATGGCCGGGCCGGGAAACGCGAAGAAGGTGGTGGAAAACGGGGCCTTGCTCTCGTGGAAACTGGGCTGTTCTTTGAGCCAAAACAGCGTCCCCAACATCAGCAAGGTCGAGGCCCCGGCCAAAGAGGGGACTATGTCTGCCTGCCTTGGCTACCCTGTAGTTGGCTGGCACATCGCTAACAAGAAACCTCACCTCCCAAAAAGGATGCGGCGGCAGATCAACGCCACCCCCACGCCTCTGACTGCCATCGGACCCCCCACCACCGCCGCTCAAGAGCCGCCGACGAGGATTGTCCCCACCCCGACGTCGCCCGCCATCGCTCCCCCCACGGAGACAACGGCCCCGCCGGTCAGGGAGCCCATCCCGCTGCCGAGGAAGCCGACGGTCACCATCAGAACAAGGGGCCCCATCGTGCAGACGCCCACCCTCGGGCCGATCCAGCCGACCAGGCTGGTGGAAGGCACTGGGACGGTCTCCGTGCCGATTCGCCCCACGATGCCCGGCTACGTGGAGCCCACCGCGGTGATCACGCCGCCCACCACCACCACCAAGAAGCCCAGAGTCTCCACTCTGAAGCCCGCCACGCCGTCCACTACAGATTCCTCCACGGCGACAACACGCAGACCTACCCGGAGGCCCAAAACGCCCCGTCCCACGAAGCCCCCCGGCACCACCCGCTCCCCAATCTCCAAGCTGACCACCGCCTCCCCTCCCACCCGCGTCCGCACCACGGCCAGCGGCGTCCCCCGGCCCTGGGAGCCAAACGAGCCGCCCAAGCTGACGAACCACATCGACAGGGTAGACGCGTGGGAGGGGACTTACTTTGAGGTGAAAATACCCTCGGATACTTTCTACGATAAGGAAGATACCACCACTGACAAGCTGCAGCTGACCTTGAAGCTGAAGGAGCAGCAAATGATAGAGGAGAATTCGTGGGTCCAGTTCAACAGCACCAGCCAGCTCATGTACGGCATGCCGGACCGCAGCCACGTGGGGAAACACGAGTACTTCATGTATGCCACTGACAAAGGGGGGCTGTTTGCTGTGGACGCTTTTGAAATCCACGTCCACAAACGCCCGCATGGGGACAAATCCCCGGTGAAGTTCAAGGCCAGGCTGGAAGGAGACCACAACGCGGTGGCAAATGACATCCATAAGAAGATCATGCTTGTGAAGAAGCTGGCCCTGGCGTTCGGCGATAGGAACAGCAGCACCATCACGGTGCAGGACATCACCAAGGGCTCCATCGTGGTGGAATGGACCAACAACACGCTGCCTCTGGAGCCCTGCCCCCGCGAGCAGATCCGGACTTTGAGCAAAAAGATTGCGGATGACTCTGGGGGGCCGAGCCCAGCTTTCTCCAACATCTTGCAGCCGGAGTTCAAACCTCTGAACGTGTCGGTGGTGGGCTCCGGCAGCTGCAGGCACATCCAGTTCGTCCCCGTGATGAAGGACGGCAGGGTGATCTCAGAGGCAACGCCGACGGTGGCGGCTGGGAAGGACCCCGAGAAGAGCAGCGAAGACGACGTGTACCTGCACACCGTCATCCCCGCCGTGGTGGTGGCCGCCATCCTGCTGGTGGCCGGCATCATCGCCATGATCTGCTACCGCAAGAAGAGGAAAGGGAAGCTGACCATCGAAGACCAGGCCACGTTCATTAAGAAGGGCGTGCCCATCATCTTCGCCGACGAGCTGGACGACTCCAAGCCCCCGCCGTCCTCCAGCATGCCCCTCATCCTGCAGGAGGAGAAAGCCCCGCTGCCCCCCCCGGAGTACCCCAACCAGAGCATGCCCGAGACCACGCCGCTCAACCAGGACACCATCGGGGAGTACACGCCGCTGCGGGACGAGGACCCCAACGCGCCGCCCTACCAGCCGCCCCCCCCCTTCACCGCTCCCATGGAGGGGAAGGGCTCCCGCCCGAAGAACATGACCCCCTACCGCTCCCCACCGCCCTACGTGCCCCCTTAACGAACGGGACGCTCGGGGGGGAGACAGGGCCTCCGGTCCCACACCGGTGCCGCCTGCGGGCCGGCCACCCCCTTGCCGGCCGGGAAGCCGACATCCCAGCCTGCTCCCAAGCAGGCCCCCCTGCGGCTGTGCCCACCGTGCCGGAGCGCCCGTGGAACCTGGGGGACACTTGTTTTATTTTTGCCTAACAAGCTTTGGTTTTATTTTATTCATAGAAAAATTCTCAGCTCGAAACCGCCTTTCTGGCGGCGGGCTTCCGGGCACGGCTGGGGCCGGCGCGGAGGGCAGGGAGGGGGGGACGAGCAGGCAGCACTGGGGTGGCACTCTGGGTCTCCGCTGTTTGCCTTTAACACTAACTGTACTGTTTTTTTCTATTCACGTGTGTCTAGCTACAGGACGTAACATGAAAGGTAGCCTAAAAAATAATTAAATTCAAGGGACTTTCTGAAGTCGATGTTTTTAAGTTTTTACATTTAATCTGCTGTTCACCTAAACTCATGTATAGTTCTGGGGGCGTGGGGGGGGGAAGCGCTACGCTGCAGGTAAAGCTCCAGGGGTGTCATAGGTTTAGGTAGAGGGGTGGCCATAGAGGACAGCCGGCCCCGGTGCTGGGGGCGGAGGGCTCTGGCTTTGTTTCATTGATTTTTCTTTTTTTTAATCGAAGCGATCCTGTTTTTCTCACGCATCACAACACAGCATGGGGTCAGCCTGGAGCGGGGGGCGCTGGAGGGAGGCGAGCCGGGCCCGCATCGCCCTGTGTGCCGGTGGGGCTCCGTGCAGAGGCAGCCCCTGGGCGTGGGGCGTTCGGGAGCTGGGGAGGGGTTCCGTAGCGCAGTGCCGTCCATCACAGTGACTTCTCGTGGGGGGCGATGCTGGGTGGGCCACGTGGCTGTGTGCACAGGGCTGGGGGCTGCCGGGAAAGGTGGGGGGAAAATAAATAAATAAATAAATAAATAAAGGATAAAAAGAAAAGGAAAAAGAAAAAAAGGGGAAAAAAAAGGGGGGAGGGGGGGAAACAAACAAACAAACGAACAAAAAGCGCCAGGAATAGTGAATAGTCAGAACAATCGGTGAAGTCTCAAATCTAATTTTTTTACTAAATTTTTGATACAGCCTCAAATTGTTTTATTAAAAAAGAAAAAGCATTAAAGATGGGTAACGCTGACAGCAGTCTGTTGGGCTCCGCTTCTTGGGACCCTCCGCGGACCCGCCCCGCCCCGCCCCGCCCCGCCCCGCCGGTCCCTCCGCGTTCTCCGCTCCTCCGCCCCGTGACAGCGCGGCGCGGCGCCGCCCGCGTTATGGCGCCCCCTGCCGGCCGCGCCGCCCCCCGTCCCGCGCCCCGCCCAGCGCGGCGCCGCCATGTCGGGAGCGCCGGGCCCGGGCCGAGCCCCGCTGCCCTGCACCGCCCGCGCCGCCGCCCACCTGCAGCTGCCCGGCGGGGCCGAGGCGGCGCGGCCCGGCGTGGCCGTCATTGACGTGCGCTTTCCCCGCGGCAGCGCGGCTGACGTGAGTGCGGGCCGGGGGCGGGCGCTGCGGGTACCGGCGGGGTACCGGCGGGGTACCGGCGGGATGCCGGGGCCGTGACCGCGCCGCCCCCCGCAGGTGCACGAAATCGTCTTCAAGAACTTCTACACCGCCTTCCTGAGCGTGCGGGCGCAGCGGGCCGGGCCGCCGGGACCCCGCAAGTGGGTCACCTGCATCCGCGACCTGCGGCTGATGCCGTGCCCGCACACGGAGCTGGGCGCTCAGGAATACTTCTCGCTCCGCCGCTCCCAGGTCCGCCCCGGGCACGCGGTCGCCCCCCGGCCGCCCACCGGCCGCCTGACGCCCGCTGTCCCCCCGCAGATGCTGTGCGACATGGAGCAGGTGACGGCGCTGCGCTTCATCCTGCGGCAGCCCTCCCCGGCGTGGCTGCACTTCGGAATCGAGGAGCTGCAGCTCTTCCCTCCTGGCAGCAAGGTGACCCCGGGGAGCCCCGAGCGCGGGGTCCGCCCTGGGGGGCTCGAGGGGAAAGGGGGGCGTGGGGCCCGGGGTCCTCGGAGTGCCACCCCCTGGGCGCTGCGGAGTGATGCTCGTAGCAACAAGGAGGATGCTGGGGTCCGAACTGCGGCGCGAGGGGTGAGGGCGGGATAGAGGCCCCCGCGTGACCCTTTGGCTCCACCGCAGACCTCCCCGCAGGACGTCCCCTCCTGGCTGTCCCAGCTGAGCCCTCCGGAGCAGCCCCCCAGCCTGCACGGGGTGAGTGGGGCCGTCCCGTGCCGTGGGTGGGGCGTGGGTGGGGCTGCCGATGGGTGCCACCCTGCCCCGGGGTGCACGGGCTGGTCCTTCCCACCCGTCACACAGCCCACATTGTCCATCTGCTAAGTGCGCAGCTGGTGGCTGCTCCAGTGCTGCCGGGCCTTCTGACCCCAACAGATCATGGCGTGAGCACTCCATCCCCAGAGGATGTACCGAATCCTGGTACCCAACCCCTGGGTGCTTCCAGCCCCCTCCTGGTCCCGCTGGCACCAGGGATCATTCCAGAGCCCCAAAGCCACTGCCCGGTGCTGGAAGCAGTGTGCAGAGTTCAGAAGAAAAATACCCGTGAGACATGCAGATCGAGGTGGCATTTAAATCAGCTCATCCTCTGCCTGGGGACAGGGGAGGCCTCGCGAGCGCAGGCGGGTGGCAGAGGGAGGGCAGCGCTGACTGGCAGGGTTGGTCCAGGAGGTGACCATGGAGACCATCACAGCCTGCAAGCACCGGTGTTGGGCCTGCTAGGTGGCGCGGGGTGAGCAGAGTCCAAGGAGAGTTGGGGCAGAGCTCGGGTCACCCATGTCCCCACGGGTTGTCACCGTGTGTCCCCACATCACGCTGGGGCGGGAGGGAGAGGACGTGGGGAGCATCGCGCAGTGCCGTGCTGGGAAAAGAGCTTGAGCGTCCTGGGTGCTGAACCTCGGTGGTGCAATTAGGTCTTTAATCATTAGCTAATTGCCTGGTTTGTGTCCCCGCTCTGGACGCCCGCCAGCGGGGCCGTGTCACCCTCAGGGTCACCGTTTCCCAGCCGCCCAGCAGGGCTGCTCTGCGGGTGCTGTTTGCCGTGGCACAATGCCCCGCACGAGGGTTGCCCCGGCCCTCCCGGCACCGCTCCCGCTGCCTTCCAGGAGCTGCCCGACCCGGAGAAGGTGGCGGCGGAGGTGCAGCAGATGTGGGCGCTGACGGAGGTGGTCCGCGCTCGCCAGGCGGCCGCGCGCATCGGGCGCTTCGACGTGAGTGCGGTGCTCAACCGCGGCACCGGCGGCCGCGGGCCCGGTGGGGGCCGTGCGCTGTGCTCCCTGCGGCGCTGCCGGGACCCAGCGTGCCGCGTTCCTCTCGCAGGTAGACGGCTGCTACGACGTCAACCTGCTGTCCTACGGCTGAGCCCCGCTGGGCGCTCCCGGAACCGGCGTGGATGCTGCAACCGGTGGACTCCGACCCGGCCTTTGCCCCACTACCTCCCGTGCCGCCCGCCGGCCGTGCCCCACGGCCCCTCCCGCAGCGCCGTCTCCACCACCCGCGGGCTCGGTTGGGGCCCGGCCCCTACGCGTTCCGCAGCCGCGGCTCCGGATAAAGGCTACTACCGCGCTGCCGCCTCCGCTCGTTTGTGCGGGGCCGGGGGCGGGCCGGGGGCGGGGCGGGAAGGCGGCATGTCCCAGGCGCCCCGGCGGGGCGGGCCGAGCCGTGCCGTACCGAGCCGCGCTGCGCTGAGCCGGGCCGGGGCCGGAGGATGCTGCGGGCGGGGTGCCGCGCCGCGCTGGCCCGACGCCACCTGGGCTCGGCGCCGGTGAGTGGGGCCGAGGGGAGAGAGGGAGGCCCTGCCGTGCTGAGCTAAGCCGGGCCGTGCCGCGCAGGAGGGGCTGAAGCGGACGCCGCTGGACGCGCTGCACCGGGCCCGCGGTGGGAGGATGGTGCCGTTCGCCGGCTGGAGCCTGCCTGTGCAGTACGGCCGCGGGCACCTCGAGTCGCACCTGCACACCCGGCGGCACTGCTCGCTGTTCGACGTGTCCCACATGCTGCAGGTAGCGGGCGGGGGGACGGGGGCTGCGGGAGGGGTCCCGTCGCACCGCCTCACCCCCGACCCCTTCCAGACGCGGGTGTACGGGCGGGACCGCGTCCGCTTCCTGGAGAGCCTGGTGGTGGGTGACATCGCCGAGCTGCGCCCGGGACAGGTATGGGGGTCAGCGGGTGGCAGCTGGGCAATGGGCGCCCAGCACATGGCCCCATACGTGGGGACGGATGCCCCGGCACAGGGCTCCCCCAGGGTCCCCCCCCGTCCCAGCACCCACCCCACAGGGCACCCTGACACTGCTCACCAATGAGCACGGTGGCATCGTGGATGACCTCATCGTCACCAACACGGTGGAGGATCACCTCTACGTGGTGTCCAACGCGGGCTGCGCTGACAAGGACCGGGCTGTCATGGAGGTACGGGCAGGGCTGGGGCAGGGCAGGGCCCCACAACCTGTCCCCACACTGCGGCCCCATCCCCGCAGGGCAGAGCAGCAGAACTGAGGGCGGCCGGCGGCGACGTGCACCTGGAGGTGTCGGACAACGCACTGCTGGCACTGCAAGGTAGTGGGTCCCCATGCTGGTGGCACTGGTCTCATCCCACCGGGCCCAATGTATGGCCTTGCACCCCCCGCCTCGGTGCTGCCATCCCCAAGGCTGACGCCTGTCCCCTCCAGGGCCCTCCATGGCACAGGTGCTGCAGGCCGGGCTGCCAGATGACCTGACCAAGCTGACCTTCATGACCAGCACAGCCACCACCGTCTTTGGTGTGCCGGGCTGCCGTGTGACACGCTGTGGCTACACTGGCGAGGATGGTGTGGAGGTATTGGGCATCGTGGGGCGCCATGGGGCAGCCGTTCCCTGCAGGGTGCTGTGCCCCCTGACCGCCCCCATCCTGCACAGATCTCAGTGCCTGCAGGGCGAGCCATGGAGCTGGCTGAGCGGCTGCTGGGCTGCCCTGAGGTGTGGCCGGCAGGGCTGGCAGCCCGGGACAGCCTGCGCCTGGAGGCCGGGCTCTGCCTCTACGGAAACGACATCGATGAGAGCACCACGCCGGTGGAGGCTGGGCTGCTGTGGACCCTGGGTAGGTGCAGGCTGTGTCCAATTGCCAGGCCTGAAATGCAGGTCACAGCTGCCGGGCCTGAAGCACAGCCCTTCAGTGCCAGGCCCAAAGCACAAGCCCCCCCAAGTGCAGCCCCCAATTGCTAGTCCTGAAGCGCAAGACCCCCCAGTACCATTCCCAATGCGTAGGCCCCCCCAGTGCCATGCCCAAAGCGCAGGCTTCAGCCCTCTGTGCCCCATAGGGAAGCGCCGGCGCACAGCCATGGACTTCCCCGGTGCAGCCATCATCATGGAGCAGGTGAAGGAGAAGCCAAAGCGGAAGCGTGTGGGGCTGACATCGGTGGGTCCCCCCCTCCGGCCACCTGCCGCCATCCTGGGCCCTGAGGGCACGCCTGTGGGCACGGTGACCAGCGGCTGCCCCTCGCCCTCCCTGGGCAAGAACATCGCCATGGGCTACGTGCAGGCTGCGCACAGCCGCCCCGGCACCACGCTCACCGTTGAGGTGAGGAAGAAGCAGCAGCCGGCGCTGGTCACCAAGATGCCCTTTGTGCCCACGCACTATTACATGGCCAAGTGAGACCTGGCCCCATTAAAGCCCCTCGCCCATCTCCCGCCTCGTATCTTTCGCTGGGGCAGCACAGGGCGGTGGGGGGCTGCAGTCCTTTAATGGTGCGGTGCTGGCGGTGGGCGCTCCTCATTCGCGGTGCGTCTTCCCCGGCTCAGCTGCCGTGCTGTCCCTGTGGAGATGGCAGTGTCAGCAGGGGGACACGGGGAGGGCGGTGGATGCACCCGGCTGGGGGGTGCAGAGTGGGGCATACGGGGATGGGGACAGGAGTGGAGGATGCAGCCAGTGATGGACTGGACTGGGGGGGGATATACGGATATACTGGGGCACAGTGGGCGGTGGGGCACATAGTGGAGGGGAAGTAGGGGAGTGGGAGGGCGGTGGGATGCCCTGGGCTGTGGGGTACATAGTGGGGCACACCAGGGTGGGGACTTGCGCTGGGGGCACATCCCGAGGGGGCAGCGGGCCGGGGGCACAGCAGGGAGGCACACACCGGGTCGGCACGCACAAGGACGCAGTGATGCGCGAGGACCCAGCGGGAGACGCGCTGCGGTGGTGGCACGGGGAGGGCAGGCGGCTCTGGGGGCACAGCAGGGCTGCGTGCTGGGGCTCGTTGGTTTGGGGACGCGGGACGAGGACGGGCACCGGGAGGTAGTGGGACAGCGGCACGGGGGGGCACGCGGTGGGATACACAGCCGCGGGGATCCGGGGCGGGGGGAGGCGTTCGCTGGGACGCGCCGGAACGGGGACGCGCGGTGCCGTGGGCACACGGACGCGGCGCAGAGCGGACTCACCGGGGCGGGCAGTGCCGCTCGGCGGCGCCGTCGCGTCGGGCGGGGGACGAGGAATGCGCGCGGGGCCGTGCGGGCGCGGGGCCGCCGTCGGTGCCCGGGGCGGGGGGGCGGCGGGCGGCCGGGCGGTAGCAGAGCGCGGCCACCTCCTCGCCGTAGGCGCGCCACGCCAAGCGGGTGGCCATCAGGCTGAGCCCCAGCCACAGCAGCAGCAGCTGGCACAGCGCGGCACGCACGTCCTGCGTCGCCCACTCGGCCGCCAGCTCCCGGCCCAGCGCGCCCAGCGCCTCCCAGACCGCCGCCATCGCCGTTACCGGACGGGGCGGGGCACGGCCGGCGGGGCGGGGCGGCGGCATGGCGGGTGCGCGCTACTCCCGGCAGCTGTGCGTGCGGGGCCGGGGGTGGCGGGGTCCGGCCGCTCGCTTTCCTGCCGCTGAGCGCCCGCCGTGCCCCGCAGGTTGGTGCTGGGCGACGGCGGGCGGCGGCTGCGGGAAGCCGCGGTGCTGGTGGGGGGGCTGCGCGGGGTCGGAGCGCAGGCGGCGGCGGCGCTGGTGCTGGCCGGGGTGCGGAGGGTCGTCCTGCACGAGAGCGGTGCGGCGCGGGGCGGGGTGCAGGTACGGAGTGCGGGGTCACGGCGATGGTGCGGGTGCTGTTGGGGGCCCGAGGCGGGTGCTGTCCCGTGAAATGGGTCCGGGGGGTTGGGAGAACGCGTACGGGTACAGGGAGGCATCCCGGTGTGGGGATGGGTCCCAATAAGGGATGTGAGGTGCTCGGTAATGGTTATGGGTGTGGGTCCTGCTGATGGTACGGGTGGGGGTGCTGGTGGGGCGTGGGGATGGGCGAAGGTTCCAGGAATGAACACGGGTACAGGCTGGGGGTGCTGATAATGAGTGCGAGTACGGGCAGGGATCCCATTAATGGGTGTGGCTGTGGGCAGGGTCCCAGTAAGGGGTACAGGGACGGGTGGGGGTCTGGGGAGTGGACCTCGGCTGTGGGTGCAAGAAGGTGCAGGGCTGGGGGTTCCAGTAATGGGTATGGAGGAGCCATGGGGGTGGCTACAGCTGGGAGATCCCTGTCCCAGTGGGGATTGGGGTGCCTGTGCTAGGGATGGGATGTGGTCTCTCTGTTCCGGGTGAGGTCCCCATCAGTGGCCCAGGCCCACAAATGCCGCTGCCCCACAGTTCCTCCAGGGGGAGTGCAGCGTGGGCCAGAACCGTGCTGAGGCATCCCAGCGGCTGCTGGCCTCACTGAACCCTGATGTGGAAGTGACAGTGCACTCCGGGGAGCTATCGGAGGAGTTCCTCACTGCCTTCCAGGTGAGTCTGGCCCCCAGCCCAGGGGTGCCATGGGGCTCCAGTGCCCACTGACCGCCCTGCACAGGTGGTGGTGCTGACTGAGTGCCCGCTGGAGGAGCAACTCCGTGTTGGGGACATCTGCCATGCCAAGGGTGTCTGCTTCATCGTGGCCGATGCCAAAGGGCTGGCAGGGTAAGGGCTTAGCACTGCGTGGCACCACGTGGCTGCCCCTTCTTACCCTGCACTGTCCCTCCGTGTCCCCAACCCGCTGGTGGGTGGGACCTGCCCACTCTCAGAGCTGCATTGTCCCTGCCCAGGCAGCTCTTCTGTGACTTTGGGGAGCACTTTATTGTCCATGACCCGGTGGAAGGGGACCCGCTCTGTGCCACTGTGCAGCACATCTCCCAGGTAGGAAGTTCTGTGGTTGTCCCTGCACCCCAGCACGGTGACTTTTCAGCTCCATGTCTGTGACCCAAAATGCTTTGATGCCTCACGCTGCCTGGATTGAACCTGCACGCTCACATCTCCTCTGCTCAGGGCAACCCAGGGATCGTGACATGCGCAGGGGCGGACAAGAACTATGGCCACCGCTTCAGTGATGGTGATCTGGTGATGTTTTCTGGCGTGGAGGGCATGGTGGAGCTGAACAGCAGCGAGCCCTGCCCTGTACGCGTGCTGGGTGAGTGCCCGCCCTGGGGTATGCGGGGGTCCCTGGTGGTGACCGTGACACCCATTCCCCCCCTGCTCTCCAGACGGCTTCAGGTTGGAGATTGGTGACACAAGCACCTTCTCGCCATACTGTGGTGGCGGCCGGGTTTCGGAGGTGCGGCCACGCCAGGAGCACTCGTATGTACGTGCCCCTGTGCCACGGCAGTGCCACCTCCAGCAGCAGCCCCATGCCCCCACCGTGTCCCCACTGTCCCCATGCTGTGTCAGCAGGAGCCCCTCCGCCAGGCGCTGGCAATGCCCAGGATCCAGGCCAGGACCTCCATAGAGCTGCTGCGCAGCCGCAGTCTGCACGCTGCCTTCCAGGCCCTGCACGCCTTCTGCCGAGAGCGGGGCCACCTGCCCCAACCCCGGGCAACTGTGAGTTTCCTCCCAGCCCCCCCCCAGCCTGTGCCCCCTACCGCACTGCCACTGCCCCTCTGCCCGCAGGAGGATGCTGAGCGTGTGCTGGAGCTGGCACGTGAGCTGGGCTCAGCGCTGGGCCCCCTGGATGAGGACGTCGTGCGAGCGTTCGCCAGCGTCAGCGCTGGGGAGCTGTGCCCAGTGGCATCCTTCATCGGCGCGCTGGCTGCCCAGGAGGCGATGAAGGTGAGCAGGCGTGCGGCGAGCTCTGCTATCCCCAAGCGCTCGGTGGCCACGAGAGGGCATCTGCTGCCTTCCTGGGGACACCGGGTGCTCAGAGCAGAGTGCTGGGCGGGGTGACGTGGTGCCAATGCTGGGCACGGGCACCTCGCTCGCCCCAGGCCATCACGGGGAAGTTCCTGCCCCTGGATCAGTGGTTTTACTTTGACGCCCTGGAGTGCCTGGCCGTGGAGGGGGCTGCGGGGCTGATGCCGGAGGACTGCGCCCCGGTGAGTGCCCGCTGCCGCTGGGTGCCGCGATGCTGTGCCCACCCCCACTTACACCGATCCCTCTCCCGGCAGAGGGGATCCCGCTACGATGGACAGATTGCCGTGTTCGGGGCTGACTTCCAGGAGGAGCTGGGCCGCCAGAAGTACTTCGTGGTGAGCAGGGTGCGGGCAGTGGTGTGGCACAGCTGGGGCGTTGGGGTGCAGTGGTTGTGCCTCGCAGGTGGGAGCCGGCGCCATCGGCTGCGAGCTGCTGAAGAACTTTGCCATGATGGGGCTGGCAGCGGGGCCGGGCGGGGACATCACCATCACCGACATGGACACAGTCGCACGCTCCAACCTGCACCGACAGCTTCTCTTCCGTGAGGCTGACGTGGGGGTGAGCTCCCCCCAGGGGGAGACCTGGGCAGTGCGGGGATGTGAAACGGGAGGAAGCCGTCCCCGCTCTGTGCCTTGCAGAAGCCGAAGGCGGAGGTGGCTGCAGCCGCTGTACGGCTGATGAACCCGGACATCAAGGTGACAGCCCACCAGGTCCAGCTGGGCCCCGGCACCGAGAAGCTCTTTGGGAACACCTTCTTCCAGCGGCTGGATGGTGTTGTCAGTGCCCTGGACACGCTGACGGCCCGTGAGTGCTTATGTGGAGCAGGGATGAGCCCTGTCTCCATGCTACCAGGATGGATGCATCCCTCCTGTTCCCCATAGGAGCCTTCCTGGAGAGTTGCTGCATCCGCTCCCGCACGGCGCTGCTGGACACGGGCACAGAGGGGGCAAAGGGCAACGTGCTGGCCATGGTGCCCCCCCTGAGCCAGCCGCTGGAGCCAAGCAGTGACCCTGCAGATAGGAGCTTCCCACTGTGCACGCTGCGCTTCTTCCCCTGTGCCATCGAGCATACGCTGCTGGTATGGATGTGGATCCTTGCACCTGGCCCTTTGGTGTCCCATCCCATCCCATCCCCCTGGCAGGATGTGGCCCCAGCTGCTCCCTGCCAGGGTATCACCATCATGGTGAACGGGGAAGGGTCACAGTGTGGGAACCCAGCACTCAGCCCTGTCCCCTCAATGCAGTGGGCTCGTGATGAGTTCGAGGGGCTCTTCCAGCTGCCTGCAGAGAGCATGAACCGCTTCCTGGGGTGAGTACAGACTCACTGCCCTGGGGCCAGGATCAAGGGACAGACGGCCGTGTCCTGCACGTGGCATCACTGCAGGCGTGCTGGTAGTGCCTGGTTTTGCAGGGAGCTGCCCGATGAGCCGGGGCGATGGGAGGGCCTGGTGGTGCCCAAGCAGGTGCAGAGGAGCCTGCAGGAGCGGCCGCGGGACTGGGGGGACTGCGTGCGCTGGGCCTGCCAGCACTGGCAGCTCCGCTACCACAACAGCATCGCACAGCTGCTGCACGACGTGCCGCCCTCGCACGTGAGCATGGGTCCCCCTTGTGCCATTTGATGGAGAGGCGTCCCTAGCCCTGACTCTGCCTTCCCTGTGGCAGGAAACCAGCCCCGGTGTGCCCTTCTGGTCAGGGGACAGGAGGTGTCCCCATCCACTGACGTTCGACCCCAGCAATGTGAGTGCATGGAGATGTAGGGCCGGGGAGAACTGCTGGTGGGCACTGGGCACAGTGGAGCTGCTCAGACAACCTGAATGAGATCTGCAGCATGGAGGTTGAGAGGCACCTCCATCTCCCTCTCTACTGCAGGACACCCACCTGGCATACGTGGAGGCTGCTGCCCACCTCCTGGCTCAAACTTACAGGCTGCCATCCTGTGGTGACCGGGTGGCCACGTGGGATGTCCTCTGCAACATGGTGCTGCCACCCTTCGTGCCCAAGGACGGGTGCTACGTCCCCACAGCAGAGGGCATGGAGGAGGTGGAGGAGACTCTGGGTAAGGCTACTGCATGTCTGTATCCCCAAAACCCAATGAAGAGGCACAGGCCAGGAGGTGCAGCTGTGATAACGGGTTCCTGGCCTCTGCCCCTGCATCCCCAGAGCCTGGACAGATGCTGGAGCTCGTGCAAGAGCTGGCGCAGTGGAAACAGGAGCTAGGAGGGGACACAGAGGCAATGGACCCCATCCACTATGACAAGGTACCACAGCTGCAGGGCTTGGGGAGGTGGCACTGCTTCCCATTGAATGCCCATGTCCCCACGCTCTTCCCTGCAGGACAGTGATCTCCACTTGAGCTTCATCACGGCTGCATCCAACCTGCGTGCAGAGAACTACGGCATCCCACCTGCGAGCCGGCTGACGGTGAGTGCCATCCCCGAGAGCCCCCCTCCCCACAGGGCAGCTGGTGACACCCCTCTTCTCCTCAGAGCCAGCGCATTGCTGGGCGCATTGTGCCCGCCATCATCACCACCACAGCAGCCGTGGCTGCCCTGGCGTGCCTGGAGGTTTACAAGCTGGTGTGGAGATGCCGGGACCTCCAATGCTACCGCAACAGCAATCTGTGCCTGTCTGTATGCCTGCTGTTCCGCATCCAGCCCCTGCCAGCCCCCACATACCAGGTAGGACCCTCTCCCTGAGGCACTCCAGCAGCCCCACGGTGTGCCCCACGGCTAGTGTGTGCAGGGCTGCTGCAGCCACTCGCATCTGGCTGATGGGAAGCAGCTGCAGCAGCCGGCGAGCAGCTGGCACTGGGCCCGGGGCTGCCTGCGGCTGTGGGGGGAGCAGAGCCGAGGTCCCCCCCTTTCTGTCAGAGGGGGGAAAGCAAAGCCACATCAGGGGCGGGGGGGGCAGGCCCCCAGATTGGGACCGTCTGGGTGATAGAGGCCCCTTTGTCTGGGGGTTTATGGCGTGCGAGGCAGCCCTTCCTGCGCGGCAGGAAGCGCCGATTGGAACCAGATTGGCCCGGGGGGCCCAGGGCCGGGGGCAGGAAGAGGGGGAGGAAAAGCGCCTTCATCGCCTCCGTGCCGGCTGCAGCTCGACTTCAGGCTGCCCAGCCACCCCAAGACCCTCCTGCCTCTGTGCCCCGCTGCCTGGTCCTGTGCCATAACCTCAGGGAGGCCAGGGCAGAGGATGTTGCTCTGGTGCTCCATGCCCTCTGTGCCAACATCCTGCTCCAGGGCTCCCAGTGCTGCTCCATGACACTTCATGCTGGGATGTGGCAGAAGCGCTGTCCTATGGCTCGGTGCCCGGTGGTACCGTGGGGTCCTGAGAGCCCACCAAGGCTGTGGCCACGGCCTGGGGGATGTGTTGTGTGTGTGGCTGTGGTGGTACAGATGGGGTTAAGGCCTCTCCCGGCACAGGCAGCAGAAGGCAGGACGCGAGGGCGGCCCATTGCCAGCATCCGCGGGACATGGCCGGGCCCAGCGCTGCCTGCAGTGGGGGCAGATGGTGGACAGCCATGCCAAGTGCTGGGGCCGCATCCTGCGCTCGGGCTGCAGCCAGGGTCACAAAACCCCCGGGGGCCACAGGCACAAGAAGAGGCGATTGTGTGGGGCTGGGCTGCCTGTCAATGGGGCTTTGTGCGTGGTTGGGGCCAGCGGTGCTGGGGGGTGGCCGTGTTCCATTCCCAGCTCCCTGTCCCCGAACCCCCTCTCCTCAAACCCCTGTCCACAGCCCTGATTCATTCTCCCTGCTCCCCTCGCAGTACCGGGGAAAGGAGTGGAGCTGCTGGGACCGGCTGGAGGTGCGTGCTATTGGGGAGGACGGGCAGGCGATGACGGTGCGGGAGCTGCTGGCCTGGCTGCAGGAGGAGCACGGGTGGACCGTCACCAAGCTCCTGCGTGGCAGCACCATGCTGTACGACGGGGAGGAGGATGAGGAGATGCGGGCACGGCAGCAGGCGCAGAGGTAGGCAGCCGACTCTGGCCGTGCCCTGGTGCTGCAGGGCCCCCATCTCTCCTGCTCCGCTCCAGCTGCAGAGTAAACATCCTGCCGCCGGCAGCGCTTCCTCTGCTGGACCCCCGCCGGCCCCCTACCATAGGGGCTGGGGAGCGAGCCTGGGGTCCGGCCCAGTGTAGCTTTCCCAGCCTGAGGGGCCCAGCACACCGTTCCTTTCCCGGCTGCAGGCTGTCAGATGGTATGGAGAGCTCTGCAGAGCCACAGCAGCTGGAGCTGCAGTACGTGTGTGCTGGGGATGAGCTGGACGACGCCTGCCCCCCACTTCTCTGCACCCTGCCCTGAGCCCTGCAGGATCCCCAGATGTCACTGCCTGCCCCACGCAATAAAACTTGCAGGATAAGCTGCAACACGTGCTCACCGCGCTGCACCCTCTGCCGGTGCTGCGCCCCACAAAAGCCGCCGTGTGTCCGTTTCATACAAAACGGGGGTTTATTTACAGCGGGGAGGGGGTGGCGGGGCTAGATGTAGCCGATGACGTCGTTGCAGATGATGGGCTGGCGGCTGCGGCTGTTCATGAGGGCGGTGAAGCGGTGGAAGTCCGTGGCCAGCTGGGCGATGTTGCTGTGGGACTGGTGGAAGCAGGCTCCCTTGGGCTGCCCGCCCAGCCCCAGCGGGCACGACAGGCGCTTGGCGGGGTCGCGGCCACCCGGCCGGGCTCCCTCTGCGGCGCGGGGCCGGGCCATGCTGGCCAGCTTGCGGCGCACGTTGCCCGAGAGGCTGAGCAGGAAGGCGGGCGGTTTGCCCAGGCGGCGCGAGGACTCGGCGGGCGGTCGACGGCGGGGCTCGGCGCCCACCTCGGGCAGGTCCATCCAGTTCTCCACCAGGTCGGCGAAGCAGTTGTCCCCCAGCACCAGCGGCTGCCGGTTGCGGCTCTGCGACAGCAGCGACACCGTCCAGTCCCTCCCGTCGGCCGGCTCCAGCGTCCGCCACTGCTCCAGGCAGGCGTCCGACGTGGATTTGGGGCGGGCGCGGCGGGCGGGGGCGGGCGCGGGGGTGCCGGCGGACAGGCGGTGTGCCCGCTGGCGGGGCGGGGGGTGCCGCCGCAGCACCGGCGCTTCGTCCTCGCGCCACGTGCCCCCCGACGCCTCCGAGTAGCCCGAGTCGCACTCCAGGCTGCGCACGCTGGCGGGGGGCGAGCGGGCGGCCGGGTCCCCCTGCTCCTCTTCGCCGCAGGCCGAGCCGGGGCGGCGGGGCGCGGGGAGGGGGTCGCGTTCGGCCGGCCGCGTGCCGGGCATGTGCTCCCGGCGGCAGCGCTGCGGGGAGAGGGCGGCTCAGCGTCGGGCCGGCGGCGGGCGCAGGTCTCGGCTCGCCCGCGGCCCCGGGCTCTGCTTTCCCGCAGCCCCGGCCGGCGTGCGGCGGCATGTCAGAGAGCGCGCGGCTCCCAGCCCGGCCGTGCCTGCGGGAAGTGACACGGGGCCGAGGCACGTAGCAGCCCCGCGCCCCCGCCCCGGCCCCTCACTGCCACGGCGCGCCCCGATCGGCGGGACGGGACGGGGCGACGTCCCCAGGGAGAGCCCTCCGCTCGAGGACGCCGGGTGCCGTCGGGCCCGCTCACCCCAGGCTCGGCGCACCCCGACCGCGCGGGGCTGAGGGGCGGCGGCGGAACGGGGAGCGCTGCCGAGCGGCAGCGGAAGGAGTGCCCCGTCCCCGCGGTCGGGCCGCTCCTCTTTCTTGAATTCCTATTGTCTGAGCCCAAAAGCTGGCTGTTACGTCCGCTTCCCTCTCGCGGAAAGCCGAGCGCGCAGGGCGGCCCGCTCCGCGTCCTGTCCCGCCGCCCGCAGCGCCCCGTCGCCTCTCCCCTGTCCCCGCGTCCCTCTCCCCGATCCCTCTCCCCAGTCCCAGCTGGCGCCGCGCCACCGCCCCGCACCACCCTGTCCCGCGGGGGCCGTCGGGCGCTGGGAGGGCGCGGGGCGGGAGGGGCTCCGCCGTTCCCGATGCCGCTCGGGTCGGGAGCGCGGCTGACAGCTCGCCGCTCGTCCCCCTCCGGCCTCGCGCCCCCCGCCCGCGTCCCGCGCGCGGTGCTCCCACGCGTGATGTCACCGCGCTGATGTCACCCGCGCCCCGACACGCCGCGACCCGTCCGCCCTCCCGCTCCCCGCGGCACTCACCGGCTCGACGCGGCGCTGCCCGAGGCCGCCGTCCAGACGGGCGCTGTGCATCCCCGGCCCGGCCCCGCTCCCGGTGCCGGTGCCGGTGGCGGAGCGGCCGCGGCCCCGCGGAGCAGCGGAGCGCGGCTCAGCCCCGGCCCTCCCCGCCGCCTCCCGCCGCGGCGCCGCCCCGCCTGCCGCAGCCAATGGGACCGCCGTAACGTGAGCCCGGGCCGTACCGGCACCGGCACCGCCCCGCCCCGCCCGCCGCCCCGGGGCCCCGCTCGGCGCGCCCGGACACGACCCGCGGGGCGAGGCGGCCCCGTTACGGGCGCCGGGCTCCGAGCGGGAGGGGAGCGGAGACCCGCCGCCCGCCCGCGCTCCGCCAGCGCCTGTTAATTGCCGGCTATTAGCCGCTCTGGTTTGCTAATGAAGGGTAACAATTAGCCGCCCGGTAATTCTGCCGGTTCCCGAGAGCGCGGCGTGGATCCGCGGCCGCAGCGGGGCCGTGACTTGACCCCCTCCCACCCCGGGGCTGGGCTGGGAGCCGCGGTGACCGGCGTGACGCCGGGCGTGGGTGGCGCCCGACGCCCGTGGCAACGCGCTCCGGCTTGTCCCAAACAGCTGCCAAGCCATGGGCACGTACGGACACCTCACCTTCCTCCTCCTCCTCCTCCGTGCCCCAGGTAGGCACCCTGGGGTTCAGCGGTACTCAAAGGAACTAAAAGAACAGGGACAGGAACAGGGTCCTCCGGGTGCCCCAGGGTGCCCACCCCAGGATGGGGAAAGGGGTGGCAGCTTCAGAGTCTGGGACACATCTGGGGTACATCTTGGGGACATCTCCGGGGCACCCTTGGGGCACTGCAGGGACAGCCTGGCTGCAGTGACACTCTGCTCTTTGCAGGGACCTTTGTAAAGTCAGCAGGTAAGAGCGGCGGGGCCATCCATCCCCTGGTGGGGACAGGGGACAGGACCTAGTTCCCTGACACAGCCGTGTGAGATGCTGGTGGCCGTGGCCACACGAGGCCAATCCTGGGGTGTCCCACCAGCCCTGCCTGACCTGCCACGCATAGTGACACTGAGTGAGGATGCTGCACCGGGCGCCCGCGTGGCCGAGGTGGCCGTGTCCTGCAGCAATGCCAGCAGCAGCCCCCAAGTCACGCTGCAGCACGTCGAGTCCGCTGTCCCCGTGGGCTCCAACGTCACCCAACGCAACACCGATCCCAGTCACCCCTTCAACCCCATTGCGATCAGCGCCGATGGTGTGCCTGCTTCCACATTTAGGGCAGAGGTACGGCTGGGGGGCAGGGAGAGGGGCTGGAGAGTGTGGCACCCCGCTGAGCACCATGTCCCCATACAGGTGACACTGCGTGCCGGCGCAGAGCTCGATGCCCACCAGGTGAACTGGTACGCACTGGCACTGCGTGCTGCCTGTCCCGGCGAGCAGGAGGTGACAGGGCAGCTGTATGTGCGGGTGACATCGGGACAGGCGCTGCGCTGTGGTTTCCCATTTGCCAGCACTGATGGGGACGTGGTGCGGGTGTCGGCAGACGTGGCACCCCGTGCACCCCTGTATGTGGTGCAGGCACAGCCACCGGGTGGGCTGATGGTGAGTGCCAGCTGCCCCGTGTCCCGCAGCCTCCCAAAGGGAGCAGACCCCTGGGACAGCTGGGCACAGGGATGGAATTCTGATCTCTCCTCTGACAGTTCCAGCTCAGAAATAGTAGCACACCACTCACGCTGACCCATCAGGGCTTGGTGCTGGCACCTGATGGTGGCTTCAGCCCCAGCAAGGACACCCAGGTGGGTACGAGTCCCCACACTGACAGCACTGTCACTGCCCTCCTTGGCACCACACGCAGCTCTGTGTCCTGCTCCCACCAGGGAGACCCCAGGAATGCTCCAGCTCTCCTCTTCCTGTCCCTACCCCCAGCTCTTTCCCCTTCTGTATTCCATCCCTGCTCCTATTTGTATTCCTGACTTCATCCTCATCCCTGTCCCTATTCCCATCCCCATGCCAGTCTCCTCATCCTCATCCCTATTCTCATTCCTATTCCTAACCCAAGCCCTATTCATGGCCTTCTCCATCCCCAGTCTTTGCCTCTATCCCTGTCCCTATCCTGCCTGTTCCCCTCCCCATTCTTATGTCTGTCTCCTTCTCCTTCGTTGTTGACCCCACCCCATTTCCATCCTTGCCTCCATCCTATCCCTATCCTTAACCCTATCTTCAACTCCACTGCCATCCCAGTCCTCATTCCTGTCCCCATCTCCATCTCCATCCCCATCCCTGATGGCAGTGTCACTCCTAGCTGTCTCAGGGCCACCCCTGTGCTGCCCGCAGACATTCAGGCTGGAGATAGAGGTGATGGACCGGCATGGACAGAACTGCAGTGGGGCCGTGACAGTGGAAGTGCTGCCATCGCGCCATCCCCGTGTCACCATCCTGTGAGTGAGGCTGGGTGGGTGGGAGTGCTGGTAGCACCACGCTGTGCCACACTGCCCGCTGTGCCCGCAGTGCTCCGCAGCGGGACGTGGTGGTGCCAGAGGGCATCGGCCCCCTGGAAGTGGTCACACAGGTCCGTGCCAGTGGGGCCAACATCTGCTACGCCATCCTCGCTCCCACATCACCAGCGCTCTTCACCATCGATGAAAGTGAGCATGGTGGCAGGGTCCCCATGGCTGCCCTATCCCCATCCCTGTGCTTGGCTCAAGGCTGGCCACCTCCTGCAGTGACGGGTGAGATCCGCAGCACACGTCGGCTGGAGGTGGCCGGTGCACATCTCCTCATCCAGGCATACAACGCGCTGCAGCCCTCTGACCAGGACACCATCATGCTCAACATCACCGTGCAGGGGACAGACCAGCGGGCACCATCCTGTGTGCCAGCCCTCTATGTGTACGGTTCAAGGGTTTTGAGGGGGATGCTGCACAGTGCTTGGAAAGTGGAGCTGAGCAGCAGCTACTCCCACACAGGTCTCAGGTGCGTGAGACCATGTCCCCTGGCAGCACGCTGGTGACACTGAGGTGCGCTGACCCTGGTGGCAGTGACGGGTCCCTGCATTACACGCTGGAGGGGCCACCAGGCTCTCGTTCCTACTTCCACATGGAGGGGCCACAGCTGAAGGTATGTGGGGCCTGGGATGGTGAGTCCCCACTGGGGGAGCAGGGTCTTTCTGGCACAGCGGCATGGCAGGCTGTGGCTCTGGGGGATGCCCAGCACTACGGGACACCTTGGCTTGGCAGATCAACACCACTCTGGACTATGACACCGAGGCAATGGCTGCTGTGGGCTTCCAGCTGACAGCCACCATCATGGTGACAGCTGGGGGACAACCTCTGAGGAGCAGTGAGTGCCCATATCCCCTGCACCCTGTGCCCATGTTTCCTTCGCCCTGGGGGAGGTCAAAGTAGAGATATGCAAAGCTCCCTTTGGACCCCCAAACCAACACACAGTGGAGGAAATGCTTCTCTCCTGTGGCCCCAGTGATGCCCAACCCCTAGGGCACCAGCGTGGCACCGTCCCAGTGTCCTTATGGAGCATGCCCAGTGCAGTGTGGGCCATGGGATGGTGCCAGTGCAGCTGAGCTGCTGTGTGCTGCGCAGCCCGCGTACCCGTGCTCGTGACGGTGATACCTGTCAATGAATTCACACCGGAGTGCCCCAATGGCATCATCTTCACCGTGTCAGAGACAGCACCTTTTGGCAGCATCGTGGGGCGTGTGGTTGGCACTGACCGTGACCGCCCACCAGACAGCCTCGAGTACAGCCTGGAGGGGGGCACTGGCCCTGCACAGCCCTTCTCCATCGATGCACGCACCGGTGAGTGCTCAGCCCTTCCCCTGCCCCACAGCCCGGACACCCACGGGTGCCAGAGAGCTCACACGACCCCACAGGTGAGATCCGTGTGGTGGGGCCCCTCAGCCCCCCGCGGCGTGCTGGCTACCGGCTGACGGTGCGGCTGACGGACACCCACAATGATCTGGACCCATTGAACCGGCGGAGCCGCCTGTGTGATGTGGCCGTGCGCCTGCAGGTGAGAGCGTGATGCCGGGGTTCCACCAGTGCAGGCGCTGTGCTGCGTCCCTGCGGCTGCCCCAGGGGTGGCTCTGGGCTGGAGGTACCCACAGGGACCGGGTGGGATGGAGCTGAGCTACATCTGCTCCTGGCAGGCCATGCCTGAACGGGCACCGCTGTGCACCCCGGAGGTGCAGGAGCTGCGGATCACAGCTGGGACAGGCAGCCGGCAGCCTGTCACCCACCTGGTGTGCAGTGGGGACCCCGAGGGCACCATGCTGTCCTATGCCATTGTTGGAGGTGAGGAGCAGCCAAGCGCTGTGACTCGTCTCTTCAGCACGGCCGGGGTGCTGAGCAAACCCTCCTATGCAGGCAATGAGGATGGGCACTTTCGGCAGGAGGGGAGCATGCTCTCCTACATCTCCAATGGCCTGGCTGAGCCCCGCACATTCGTGCTGCTGGTGGAGGTGTGGGGCAGCACTGGGTCCCCACGCCGCAGCACCGTGGTGGCACTGGTGGTGCACGTCACACCCCGCAGCACCGCAGCGCCACCCAGCACCACCGCCCTGCACACGGTGAGCAGCATCCCAAGGCCCAGGTGCCTTAGGCTGGGACACCACCTGGCCCCTTACCTCTGCCTCTGCAGACGCTGCAGAAGGAGCCGCTGGTGGTCAGGCGGACGGAGCTGGCTTGGCTCCCACCAGCTTGGTTTGTGGCAGTGCTGACTGCAACCTGTGCCCTGTTCCTGGCCAGCCTGTGCTGTGTGGCACACAGCATGCTGCGCAGGTGAGCCCCAGCCTGCAGCATGGCACAGCACAGCGAGGTGGGGGCTCAGGGCTGCTTTCTGTTCCTCCTGCAGCAGCCGAAACCCCAGCAAGGTGCTTCTGAGTGAGAGGTGGGTGCTGGGCAGTGGTGAAAACACCCGTGGTGTCCCTGCAGCCATGTGGGGAGACGTGGCACTTGGGGAGGGGATGTTGATGTCACCAGGGAGCTGCTCTGAGGAGCAGCCTTTGCTTTAGAGTAAGGGCACGGAGCAACGAGCACAGGGATGGTGGTTTTATCGGGGAATGGCTGTGCCAGTGGCCAGGCTGGGGGCAGAAACCGTGCAGGGCGGCACAGTTCAACTCGAGGGTTGTTCCTGACACCGGCTGGAGAAAAGGGTGACAAGGGGCTTTGAGAGGCTGCGGAGGGTGAGCCTGAGGGGCGGCAGAGCCATCCCAGCCCACGGCAGGCACCCGTCTAGCGAGGAGGAGCCACATCAGCCCTCGGGGTGGCCGACGGCCGCCTGCAGCCACATAACCCAGCGCTACGCGACGTCACGGATGGGCACGGAGCTGGGAGCGCGGGCGCAGCCTCCGGGTGACACGCGTGGCTCGGAGCCACCCGGGCTGCCGTCCGGCGGGACCCGCGCTCCAGGAGGGTGAGGAGCGCCCTCCCTTCGCCCCTTTTCCCCCGCAGCTCCCGGGATGCGGCAGCGCAGAGCAGCGCCCGCGAGGAGGAGCGGAGCAGCCCGTCCCGGTTCTCGGCACCGCAGCCCTTCGACGGCCGCGCGCAGGACCCACGTGAGCGCCGCGCCCCGGGTGAGGGGACGGGGCTGAGGGCACGGGCTGAGCGCCGCTCCCCCCGCAGGGACCGGCAGGGACTATCTGTTCAACAGCGTCACCGGGGCGCGGCGCTGGATCTGAGCACTCACCGCACGCGGGACGGGGATCCCGAGCGCCCGCCGCGCGTGGGACGCAGCCATTAAAAGGTGCACGGACCGCGCGCCGCGCTGTGACTGCCGCGGGGCGCCCTGGGGAAGCGGGGGGAGGTCGGCGCCTCGAGCGGAGCTGGGTGGGAGCCGAGAGGGCAGAACCGGCAGAACCGAGGCGCGGCCACGGGGCGGTACTGCGCCCGGCGGGGCCGCTCGGCTCCGCTCCGCTCCTCGGGCCGTGCCCGTAGAGGGGCTCTCACCGCGGCCCGCGCTCGCTCCGCAGCGCCCATTGGTCCGACGTCCTCCCCCTGGTGGCCAATGAGACGGCGCGCCCCGCGGGGAGGCGGGCCGTCGGGCGGCGTCACGTGTGCCTAACGTGCGCGACCATCCGGAGGCGGGCCGCGCTCGGAAAGGGGCGGGGCGGCTTTAGGCTCGACTGACGTCTGTCTCGACCTATCAACGCGCCCGCTTCGCCCCCGGCGGGAGGGGCTCGGCTGCTGATTGGCGCAGAGCGCGGCGGGGCGGGCGTTGGACGGCGCGGTTGCTATGACGGCGCGCCCCGGGGTTCCGCCCCCTCGACGGCCGCCATCTTGTTGTTGATTCGAACGGCGGGGAGCGGGCGGCGGCGGCGGCGGCGGCGCTGGGGGCTCGGGGTTGCCAGCCCCCGGCCGGGCAGGCGGAGCCGCCCCGGTGAGCGCGGCGGGCTGAGCTGAGGGCCGGGCGTGGAGCGCGGCTCCGCGAGGAGAGACGGGAGGAAATGGGGCGGGACGGGACGGGGTGGTGGGATGGGATGGATGGGGTGGGGGAGCGGCGCGGCCGCGTGAAGGATGAGCGGGGAGGGGCGGGGGTCCGGGCGGGGCGGAGGAGCCGGGCCGGGTCCGTCTGGGGCTGGAGGTCGGGGGATCCCGGCGTGCGGCGAGCCCGGCGGCAGCCCTAGCGGCCCTCCCTCTGTGCCCTTCCTTCCGCAGAGGCTGCGTGCGGCGAGGAGCCCTCGGAGCGCGGCGGTGCCATGAGAGCGGCATGGTGAGGGAGCGGCGTGGGCAGCGAGCTGAGCGCTCCTCCCGCCGGGCCGGCGCTGCCCCGGCTGGGCTCGGCGATCCGCCGCCGTGCGAGCGTGTGAGCGTGCGTGTGAGTGTGAGTGTGAGTGTGAGCGCGGCTGGGAAGGGCTCGGTTTTGTATCCAAGCTGCTGCTCGGCTCCGTGCCCCTCCATCTTAGAGCTCTGAATCAGCAAAGCCCCCAACGTCGCGCTTCGCCCTGTGCTGCTTTTATCATTGCGGCCCGTCCTGCGTGTTTCTGCTTTCCTCCCCTCGCAGCCGGCCGTCCCAGCTCGCTGTTTCTGAATCCCGGGCTGAGCTTTGCTAACGGAGCTGTGCGACGCCGTAATGCCGTGCGTCCCTTGGCTGGGCTGTGCCGGGTTGGCTGGCAGCACGTCTAACAAAGAGCTGCACTGTAACATCTCTATCTATTGAAGCAATGTGTCTGACCAGATGGGTGATCTGCGTGCTAACAGTCGGGGCTTCAAGGTAGAAGAATACTCCATTCTGAATGTATGTTCTGGGCTGAGGATTTGGGCAAGCTGCCTTTTTCCTGAAAGCCTGGCAGGAGCCTGATTTAGAATTGGATGCATCGTTTGTTAGGTGTCATCACCATTAACCTAAACAGGCCTACTGTGGGACATCTTAATCCTACGTAACAGTTCCTCATTGCTGAGATTGAGGGGTGTTTCCCTGGGGCTGGGTTAGCTTAGCGCTGCCCTGGGGTAAGTGCCCTATTTTAGAGCTGGAAGCAGTGGTGCACTTTGGAAAGATTAAGTGTGAACTCATTACGTACCAAGACATCATGGGGCTGATGTGTCAACTACATAAAGCTCATGTTTGCTGTCTTTTGAATTTTGCTGTTGCTAAATTTTCATCCAGTAGCTTTAGGAAGTATTTCATTCTCGTCCCAGCTTTTTCACCACAACCGTTTCCAGATGTTTGAATGAACAACCTGTTCTGTTCTGGTTAGAGCCAGACTTGATGTGTCCTTTTCATGGCATTGCCTCTGCTTCCTGTCTCATAAGGACTTCAGGTAGAGCAGGGGAAGTGAGCTCTGGCTCCCTGAGGCAGAAGTCAGTATGTACAGTGTCATAACTGGGATCTCTTAAGACCATAGGACTGGGTACTGCATGTGTTTTTCCTTGTGTGGTTGATGCTCTGGTTATCCAGCAAGTCCCTCGTGGCAGTTTTGTGTATTTTTGATGTTGAAAAAGAATAAGTGAGCATGAATCACTGGTAAGATGAGAGAGGTTTCTAGGATATGCTTCCAGTCACTGGGAATTTGTGCCACCTTCTCCACGTAGCTCCTATTGCTTTGAGCTCATATAATTAAAGTCTGCAGCCAACAGGAGGGTCATGCCCTCTCCCTGCTGACAGCTGTTTGTGCCTCACCAGTTTGACCAGGGTGCTGAAGACATTCACCCTGACCAAATTTCTTTCCTCCTGCTTTTGTGAGTAGCAGCACAGCCTGCTTCATCATAAGGATGGCAATATAGGGCACGTCCTTATTTCCAAAATATTCTGGAGGGCAAAATCAAGATTAGATGTGCAATGGGGGATCCCCCCTCTAGTGGCAGATTGTACAGGACAACAGAATTGTAAGTTATTCTGTTTCCATTACCAGTGTTGTGAAGGCAAGGTTAAAGTAGCAAGCACTGTGGTCAAAAAATGCCCTAGCTAAGTTGTACCCACAGCCTTAATCAGCTAATTAGCCTCCCCGACACGCATTATAATTTGTTTCTTAATCATGCAGTTCCATGCTATTCTTGTCTATGCTAAGCTTCCTAGTGTTTTCTTCTCTTGTTCCTTCGCCCACATGTGGCACTTATTACATTTATTAACCTCTGAAACGTGACCTTGTGAGGTGATGAGCCCTGCCCAGGCTGGGAGCTGGCTGCTGACCATCTGCTCACAGGACACAGCTTTAATAGGTCGCCAGATGCCCGGATAGGTTTTGACTGCATTTGAGATGTCTTTTAGTTTATTTGTCTATTTCTCGAGGTCGCTGTGGGACTGGTGAGTGGGTTCTGAGGTGGAACATGCTGCCTCGTGGGTTGTGTTTTGAGTAGGAAGCATAGGTGTTAAGCCTGAAGTTGAAACAGCCTTTACTCTTGAGCAGGTACGTTTCTTGCACCCGTGGTTGAAGCTGTAGAATGTCTGATGAAGACCTTGTTTGAGCCGTTACTCAGGCACTGTGCTGTAACCCAGGCACTTCACACGCTGCTATCAGATTCCCCCAATCCATCCACCATCAGTTAGCTTTAGGATGGTTGATACATGCAGCAAAGTTAAGTGCTGATGCTGTGCTGCAGAGTCTTGGAAAGCTGCAGGGTATTGCTGGCAGGAAGCTGCAGCCTGACTCTTTTTTCTCTCTCCTGTTGGCAGCGTCAGTCCAGTTGAGGTGCTGGGCAGGGTGTAGGTTTGAACTTGAGCCGTGATGTTTGCAGATGTGTGGCAGTTCAGCAGAGCCCTTACTCTGTGCCTGTACCGTATGACTTGGCTGAAAGGAATGTCTGTAATTTCTGGCTTCTTTCTTTGAGAAAGAACGTATTAAAAGCCAGGCTGCTAAATGCAAGGAGTTCCCTCGTGAGAACTGAGATGGGTGAGCTGGAGGAAGGAGTGAAAGGAATGAAGGAAATGCGACAGAAAGCTCTGCAAGAATCACGTTGACTGTTTACATGACTTGTTGTAAACTGAAGGAACCCTTCAGATGCGCAGAGGAGTAGCTGGCACTCTCCTTTCTGTACTCCTGGTGTGACAGGAATGCAGAGCAGGATGCTGGCAAGAGTTTAATCTCAGGTTTGTTGCACGCTGTCATAAGGGTGGTGGGGGAGGAAGAGGAAGTGTCTGCATGGCTGCTTGGTTTCTGTTTTGCAGGCATTGCCTGTGCACAGTGCTTTAGCTGTTCTGATGTGGCAGCAGCTGTTATTTTTGGCTTTCCCAGCATGCTGTTTGAGTAGATGCATTTTCTAATGGATGCAGTTCTTCTAATTGTTGTGTTGGGGTGCTTCCTATGTAGTCCCCTTCAGGTGCAGGTAGTACCTGGGAGCAAGTTATTTGCCTTTTTATTTTCTGTATGTGTTCTGAGTGGCAGTAACTGTGCGAAACAAGCATGCTTCTTTACGCTGTTATTTTGCATGACCCTTGTCAGTATGTGGTCAGTTTCACTTCCAAGAAAGGATTTTATCCCATTCTCTTGGGAGAGTCACAGAATGGCTTGGATTGGAAGGGACCCCAAGGCTCATCAAGCTCCAACCCTCTGCCACATGCAGGGCCACCAACCTCCATACCTCATTAGACCAGGCTGCTCAGGGCCCCATCCAACCTGGCCTTGAACACCTCCAGGAATGGATCATCCACAGCCTCTCTGGGCAGCTGTTCCAGCACTTATTCCAGAATAAGGGAATAAGATTCTCTATCAGAGGGTGCCTCCGTATCACGATATCCACAATACCGTTAGCATGACTGCAGTTGGTTCTGTTTAAAGACAGCATGGGCGTAACTGCCATAATTGTATTAATAGAAGATCAGTGCCAACCAAATCTGATGAACGCAGTAAAGAAAGTTGCAGTATAATTTGCCTATCCTGATGGGATGTTACTAAGTGTGGGTAAGAGCTCTGGCAGATAAGCTGTGTCTGATTTAGCTTTTGTAGTTAGAAAGGTTATCTCCTCCGCCAGCTGTCCTGCTTCTTTGCCAAAAGTTACCTCCCTGGTGTTAGGGGCTGCAGCAGTTCCTGGTCAGCTGCTACCACTTAATACATAATTTTTCTTTATTAATACCCATTGGAGTGCTGTGAACCAGGCCAGATGAAGAACAGGCGTGCGCTCTCTTCTGCTTCACCTGCTGGTTGGTAACTATCAGCTGATGCTTGGAGGAGTCATTTGGGGGGCAGCAGTCCTTATAAACTAATTAAGAGCAGCTGTCAGAGCCCTGATCAGTATGTGAGAATATTTGTGTCCTGAAAGGAGCTCACTTTGAATTCAGGTCCCAGCTTTGAAGGAGGGTGTGATCTCAAACGTTCTGGATTGATGAAAACAGGTGAAGATCTAAACAAAGGCTAAGTTAGTCCTTGTTAACTTGTCTCCATACCACGTTTTGCAGGCTGACTTGCTTCTGGCACCCCACGCCCTCTTGGTTGCAAGAGGTTGGCTCCGGATCCCGGTGACCGTTCAGCAGAGAGAGTTTGGGTAACATCTCTAAGGTAACTTTTCTGTTTTGCCCAGAACACAAATTCAGCCACATTAAATATCATGCAAAGAAAAATTAGTCGCTTGCTTTTTGCTTCTCATATTGTAATTTTATCCTTGTAGTATGTGTAGATATTGTTTTTGGGAAGGATGCTCATATTTTCAGAGGAAACCACAGGAATCAAATCACCAGTAAAAGCACTACATGGGAATGAAAGGCTCGCTATTTATTAATTTGTAATCAATTAAATGACAATTCTTTATAATAAGAACTAAGCTGCCAGGTTTTGGAAGCTGAATCTGTCATATATTAGCAGCTCTGGCTGTTTTGGTGGCTGAATTGCAGCTGTGTTACCTTAATACTGATTTCAGGATTTGATTATTGTCTTTTTTTTTTGTTTATTTTTCCTATCCTCTCCTTCCTGTTTTGAGTTCAGCTCGGTGGAGTATAATAGCTTGATATGTTAGTCTTCCAGGCTGCAAGGCTACTCTGTGCTCTTCTGGATTTAGAAGAGGCTCTGGCATGCCTGCTGTCTTCCACCAAATCTTTATCAACGAAGATATGACTCAGTAGTACTACCTGTGTTGTGATTATCTGCTTACCACCAGGCTCGACTGACCTCAGGAGGCCGTATTTTTAGGTAGTGGTTGTGTTGCACAGATCACTTCTTTGGTGAGGAGGTCTGAGGGCTGTGGAACTTGTGGTGTTGCACTCCAAACCAGCAAACATGTAATGACCAAGGATGCCAAACTCCACAACTGCCTTCTTGAGAGAAGCAAAGGAGTCTTATGGTGGCTCTGCTGGAGGTGCTCCTGTGTCTGTCACTGCTGACTTGCAGCAGGCTTAGATGCTCATTTAAAGACTGGCTGTATCTTACATTCTGCTGTGACGTTGCTCTTTTTCCCCCTCATATTGTATAGTGAGATGTATTTCCCCCTTCTTAAAGCTGTCCATATAAAAACAGCACATCGACTTGAATTCAGATTAGTTGTCCGCTGCTGGTATCAAACTGTTTTCAAGCATTTCACAAAGTGAATTTAGCAATACTAGAAGGGCACGAAGGCAGGGTAAGGGCTGTTTGTTCTGCATCCTTTGTCAGTACTGCCTAAGCAGCTTGATTGTGTGTGGGGAGACGGCTGTGATCTCATTACAGCGAACGGCGGGTGATAAGCAGCTTCGAGCACCAGGATCAGCACAGCAGTGTCTGCAGATGGCAGTGAGTTATTTCAAGCAGGAAGGATTTGGGAGCAAGGTCTGGGGGATTGCATGGTCCTGTGTCTTAGTGGCAGAAAAGAACAACTACGATGAAGGCACTGAAGGTATTGCAGAGTATGAAGTGTAGCTGCTCCCTTGTGTTGTAGCATTGTGGATTGTAAGCAAAACTAGCAAAGGCCTGGAGCTTTGGAAGGGCTTCCAGGTGCTCCTTGCTTAACAGAAGGAATATTTTCCAGACTGTGATTTGTGTGTAAACTCCACGCTAGGCTAATCATGAATGTGCAGGTTTTGCCAAGATGAAATGTGACTGTCTTCAAGTATTCTTACTTTTGAAAACATTGGGATGCTTTGCTTTGTTTCCTGTTTGGACTGAGTCTGATGCTTTTTCTTAAGCTGTAGAAGTGATGTTTTCTTTGGGTATAAAGCTGCTTTGTATAATTGCAGTCTAATTTTATTTTTTTGCAGTTCTTACCATGAACACCGACCTGAATACGCTTACTAAAATTTGTAGCTAAATCTGAATCAATAAGCATTATCAGGCACATTTCAAACATCCTGTATAGAACTGAGAAAACCACTAACTGCTTTAGTCAGACTGATAAATAGCACTGTTTTGTACTCTGCAAGATCAGAACAGCTTTTACTCTTTATTCTCCAGGTACTGTGTAAAGTGATGTTTCCTCTAGTTGTTTTTCCTGCAGAAAACTACTCTGTTAATTATTCTTCTAGTTAAGTTAGACTGTGTATTTTTGTTACTGTGCTGTTAGTTAATCACAGCTATCACAGAGTTGCAGGGGTTGGAAGGGACCTCTGGAGATCATCATGTCCCCCATCCTTCCTTCTCCCCCAGACCCAAGCAGGTTCCATACGAAATCTTTTTTCCTGTTGTAGTTCCCGTGGAAATAAATAGGAGATGCTACTTTTGGGGTGACCTACGTGTATACATACAGGTATTTTGCCTTAATAGATGCAGTCTGATAGTGGCTCAGCTTTAACAAATGACTTCTTTTTTGGCTTCAGAATTCTGTTACTTAAATGGTGGCCTCAGTTCCAACTGATATTCTGCAAAGCCTGCTGGAAAGAGCTTTGAGCTCTGCTGAGCAGCTTAACATCTAGATAAGGTACTGGAAATTTGTGACCTGGGGAGTGTCTGTAAGAACTTGTTTCCAACTGCTGCAGTGAATGGGAAGTTAAATGTAGGCTTTGTTTACCTGGTTCTTTACTTATTCTGAAAAGAAAGAATTTTGTGTTCCAGGCCTTCAGAATTGAGCTGGCTGCTGTGCTGGGGTTTTCTGAGATACCTGCTGTCCAGTCTCAGCATATGGCGTAAGGAGAGAAGTAATGATAGAGGGCTCTTTTATTTAGGAAGAACTTAAAAACACAGAAGGAATTCTGTTCAGTGATTGTTGTTCTGGCATCCAAGAGCACCTTTATACCCTTGGATATTTTTCTTTCTGCACCACCCTTGTTACCCTGGATCACTGGGAAGGAAGCACCAAAGGATGGCAGCGCCGTGGTATTGCAGATGTTTTAAATGCCAGGTTTTGTTTTTTGCCCTTCAGTATGCATAGCATCTCGCCAAGCTTGGAGCTGTGACTAGCTGTCCAACTTGTGTATCCTCTGAGAAAATGCCTTCAGATTGCCTTTCACTGTCACTCAGGTGGCTGGGGCTGTGTGGTCATTCATTGCCCTTTGCCTTCCAAAGCACGCTGCAGGCCACAAAGCAGCTCTAGAGGTACTGACAGCTGTAAGGTTTTCAATCTGAGTGACTGAGCATCTTGCAGATGATAGCAGCAGGCCCATATCAACCCCTTCCCTGACCCTGAGTATTTTCTGTGTGTTTTGCCACACTGGATTTTTATAATCATCACTAGGAAAGTGAGAGCATCCTTGTATGAAGTTCTCTTTAACCTTGTAGCTGGTGTCAGATTAAATCTGCTGCCTTAGCTTTAAGTGCCCTCAGATCTTATATATACTTTACTGAAATTAAGTACTACTAGCTGTAATGCATGACTTCTGTCTAAAATGTTTGCTGTGACAGGACCTTTACCTTATTTTTATGCCCTAACTTGGGAAGTGAAATATTGCACTGTAATCCCTGTATTTCCTTAGCACTGTTTCCTTCCATGCAGTAAGGATAAGAAGAATTCAGTAAGAATATAATGAGATTTTTGAGCTGAATCTAACAAGAAAGTTGCTCAGACTTTTCTTCCCTTCTATTTTTTGTGGGTAGGTTCACCATACAAGATAACCTGCAGGCTTTTTAGTACTTCTACCTGGAAGACATTGGAATGAACAGATCTCAAATTCAGAAGCTGTAGCTCGACTGTTGTTGTTGTGACCCTTAAGGGTCATCTGCTTAGGAAAATTAAATGATAACAAGTCAGGGGTGTGGATTTGCAGTGTGATTATGTGGCTTTAAATCCCTGTGGACGTGCCTATAAGGTCATTTCTACTACAGATTGGGACAGCTGCATTAATCAACAGGTTCATCCTTGTCTGGTGCAGCTCTGCTGCTGGAATCCCTTAATGTAGATACAGTTACAATGGAGAGTCAGGCTTTTGAAGTAAAGCTGGTTTTGCTGTGGGTGTTGAGAGGGGAAGCAGTGGTGTGAGGGCTTTTTTCATTGCTGGGAGTAGCACGTGGGCTGGCAGGGCTTGCATTCGGAGGAAATAGGTATTAGAAAAACAGAGCTTCAATATGCATCTTTTCCAGTTTAATCTGTTTTTTTCATCAGCAATTTAAAAGAAAAAAAGGGAGAGGAGTGGGGCACAATGGCAGTCATCTCTCAGTTGGTCTCATAAAGATTTTACCTCTCCCTGCAGACCTTGTTATGTTTATTTCAGAACGGCTGTCCACGCAGCGCCGTAGAACAACCTGCAGTTCCCTTTGCTCACGTGATAAGTGAAGCCATGTCCTGGGCACTGATTGGTGTCGGGGTGTGGAGCACAGTGCCTTTGGCTGCACTGCACTTCTCTGCCTCTCTGACCTCGTTCTGCTGCTTAACAAACCCTTGGATTTGGTTTCCTGTTCGTGCCCTGACACTCCGTTAGCAGAAGGAACTGCTAGGTAACAGCTGCTCCTTTTCTTTTGGCACAGGACTTTGTTTACCAGAATGAAGTGAATTTGTTTGGTTAATCTTGCTTTTGTGCTCTTAAATCTTCCCGTGGAACTGATGTGCTTCTAGATTGTCCTCTTCTGTTTCTGCCATTTTGAGCAGAAAAGAAGCTAAAGCATTTGATTCTTTGGCCAAACGCAGCACTGCTTTCATGTGAAAGCAGTGCCCTGATTTTAGTTGGCATTAGCAATCTCTGTTCAATAGTTCATGGACTGGGGCTAGAGATTCCAGCAATCTTGACAAGTTAACTATCAGGTAAGACTAAGTTGAACTGGAATGCATAGGTTTGCTAGAAATAAAATGATCTCCAAACTGCAGTCTTTTCAACAGTTTACTTGACTGTTCTGCTGCTCCTTTCTGACAGGCAGCTGGCTGAAGTGTGCCAGTGCTGAGCAGTTTGGCTGAGGGAGCTGAAGCACCAACACCAGTAACCTCTCCCTGCTTCTCTTCTGTAGCATCTTCCTCCATCCAGGTGACAGCTGGGCACTTCTGACCTGCTAACTACAGTGGGAAGGTGTGAGACTTTCTGTATTTCTCCTTGCTTTGAATGTTTTCACAGTGTTCAGACAACAGCTGGGCTGTATGGTAAGACCCCGTGATGCAATTAAAGACCTGCCAAATAAAATGCTGTCTCTTTCTAGGCAGGGAAGCTTACAGGCCCAGCTGAAACAAAGTACTT